GTATACTTTTCACTTCGTATACTTCTTTTTTTCTTTGTGTCCTTTTTCGATCAAATTCGTATGACAGTCGAGAACAAATGGTTTCACCCTTTTATTTTCTCAATGCAAAGATGGAAACCGCAAATTCATCTAACATTCTGATGGAGCTCAAGACGCGGCGGCAGCAGTTCCAGACGCAGACGTCCACTTTGGATACGCGAAGACGGCAGGCAGTCTGCGTAAGGCGGGCCTTTAAGAAATATGGCTCCAAAAACAATCCAAATGTCATTCTGGACGGCCTGAACATGACCGTGCCGAAGGGCGCGATGTGAGTAATTATTTAATCCTAAGTTTTATTTCATTCTTACGACCATACGACTGTGACGATATCGTGCTGAAAACAGCATTTTTAATTGATAATTGAACGATCGCTTCATCGCACAGTTATGGACTACTCGGTGCGAGCGGTTGCGGCAAAACCACTCTATTGTCGTGCATCGTCGGCCGCAGGCGATTAAATTCCGGCGAAATTTGGGTCCTGGGTGGCCGACCGGGGTCCAAGGGATCCGGCGTGCCTGGGCCCCGGGTCGGCTACATGCCGCAGGAGATCGCCTTGTACGGCGAATTCTCCATTAGGGAAACGTTTATCTATTTCGGCTGGTGCGCCGGCATGACGACGGATCAGGTGGACAGGAAACTGGAATTCCTCCTCAAGGTGCGTCTTCTCGTCATGTTTGTTTATTACCGCTGCTTTCTGCGCTATCTATCGGTCTCTACGACACTTCTTATCGTAGTAACATCATTTATATATGATATATATATATTTTTTTCATCGTAAGAAAAAAAATCCCTTGAAGATATTGATCACGTAAGATGAATTCTATATGTGGTACGTATAACGCGAATGACATGCATTTCACAAGTAATCATTTATGCGCGGTTTTATTTCTAGAGTTCGATTAGAAACGAGAAGTATTTCTACGAGAAGTTTTTGGAAACGTTAAAATATCATTGAAGATAACGCACAAAATCTGTTGAAAGCTTTATTGACAGAGTAATAATAATAACTGCGTGCATTGTGATCGCAGTTTTTGCAACTGCCTTCGGAAAATCGTTTCGTCAAGAACCTGTCTGGTGGCCAGCAAAGGCGAGTGTCCTTCGCCGCGGCCCTTTTAGCCGAACCCGAGCTTCTAATTTTGGACGAACCGACCGTCGGTGTGGATCCCGTTCTACGACAGAGCATCTGGGACCACTTGGTGCATATCACGAAGGATGGCAATAAGACCGTCATCATCACCACCCATTACATCGAAGAAACGAGGCGAGATGCTTAAAAATCATTCTTTACCGAGTAATTCATGAGAATTGATTACTGAAGAGACAATTTGTCGTTTTTCCAGGCAAGCCGGAATAATCGGCCTGATGAGAAGTGGTAAATTTCTCGCGGAAGAATCGCCGACGAAGCTGATGGAGATGCACCGTCTCGACACGCTGGAAGATGTTTTCCTGAAGCTGAGTAAGAAACAGAATCTGGGCTTACGTCGACGGAGCAGTATTCTAAGCAGTATAACAGGCGTCCCGCCGGAAGATGTGAGTGTTAACGCGAGATAATGCATGCATGTAATTATCTCTCTTTCATAATTATTTCTTCCTTTTTCCTTTCCTTGTGTCATGTGCACGCCTTTTGACGATTCGTGGGGAGCATTGTTACTAATTTTCATTGTTATTACTTTTCGGATTACAGGACGTGGACGACGAGATGAGTGGCGAATTCGGCGACAATGTAAGCGTTTCTAGTCGAAGAAGAAGCGTGGCTATTGCGGACGATGGCAATGTAATGATATTATACACTTTCTGCGTGATTATGCGATAATTTGTATATTTATGTGCTTCTTTCGGCGACAGGTGCCGGAATTGCCGCCGGAGGAGAAAGGTTCCTCCAACTTCACCATGCTCAATCCGATGCACATGAAGGCTCTCATTTGGAAGAATTTCCTATGGATGTGGCGGAATGTCGGGTAACTCGGTCTTATGCTTTGCTTCGCCAAAATTTCCGTGTTTTTCGCTACTAGTTTTATTTGTCTTCACGATATTACTTTCGTCATCATAAATAAGTATTTCCTATGTTATTCCTTATCTTCATTCTCTTCTTCTCCGCATAGAATGATGGCATTTATCATCGGTCTACCGGCGGCTCAGATCATTATCTTCTGCCTCTCCATCGGGAAGGATCCCAGGGGCCTTCAATTGGCCGTGGTCAATAATGAATTGAATAACAGCATGGAATCATGTATACCTACGACCGGTTGCGACTGGTCGCTACTAAGTTGTCGATTCCTTCAACATCTGAGCAAAAAGACTATAGTGTGGTTACCTTATGACAACGATGAAGCGGCCAGAAATGCCGTGGAGAAAGGATTAGCATGGGCCACTATATCGTTCTCATCAAATTATTCGAGTTCCCTTATGGCCAGGGTAGAAGACGGAACAAATGCCGCCGATTGGGATGTGGAATTTTCTGAGATGAGAATCGTCATGGACATGTCCAGTATGCTTAGAGATATATTTTTCTTGGTCAAGAATATCATTCTCTGCCAGTCAGTTTTAGTGTGAAATTTTGAAACTCCGATCGGTTATCTTCTCGACATGTTCAGTTTCGATCGATCAAATAGATATGGCGTAAAGATCATTATGACGCGTTATAATATTCTTTTATGATATTATCGTTAATATGCTCTTTAAAATATAGATCAACAGATAGGCCAATTACTGCAGAGGGACATATATTCCGCATACATGGATTTTGCAAGGGACGTCACTGTGGCATGCAATTACAGCGAGAAAGTAACGAGCATACCTATAAATGTAAGAGAAGAATCAAGATATAATGCAACAATCTCCAAAAATGCTTTCGACATTTTCACAGTATCATTTAATTGTTAATTAGTTCAAAACACCGATATATGGACCTCAGGATCCTAACTTCACGGACTTTGCAGCTCCCGGAGTGATCTTAACGTGAATATTTAATATATAATATTTATTTTAGATAATATATATATATATACACAAAAGAGAGATATATATATACTTTCCGACAAGTGTTAAAAAGAATTTAATTATTTGTATCTTTAATAAATATCATATTTTTCCAGGATTATATTCTTTCTTTCGGTCGCTTTGACGTCAGGTGCCATGTTACTAGAAAGAAACGAGGGTCTACTGGAAAGAAGTCTCGTATCAGGTGTGTAAAAATAAATAATATAAAAGAAAATAAGTATTTCAACATTTTGCTAAGGAATAAATTGAAATTGGGTTAAAGATCCATGGACTTATTCGGAGAAAATTTGTTCAAAGAACAAACACCTCGTATTTTGTATAATTGATAAATCATTATTCGACATATTTAGGTCTCACTGGTACGGAGATCCTTTTCGGCCAAGTGATTACGCAGTTTATGGTGATGTTCGGGCAGTCAGTGATGGTTCTCATCGTCTGCTTCCCAATCTTCAGGATCACCTGCGAGGGTGACATCGGTTGGATCACTACGTTGACCATTCTTACAGGACTCTGTGGCATGTGCTTCGGTAATGTTTTTATCATTTTATTAACTTTAGTAGAGTTGATTTCCATATCTTGAAAGCGAAAGAAACGATTCTAATTCAACGGAAACGACTGATTTTTTTCAATAAACAATAGCTATTTGACGTTTGTCTATAAATTTGGTGTTCAACCGATTTCGTGAATAAGAATCAACTAATTTTCAGGATTCGTCATTGCCTGCTTCTGCGAGAACGAGAGAAGCGCTACATACTTGGCAATGGGGTCATTTCTACCCATCGTGATGCTCTGCGGTATCATCTGGCCGATCGAAGGCGTACATCCCGTTCTCAAATATATTAGCTTTATATTACCGTTAACAAAGAGCACGGAGTCAATGAGAGCGATGCTAGCCAGAGGTTGGCCGATCTCAGAACCGGTCGTTTACTACGGTTTCATCGCCACGTTCATCTGGATCATCATCTTCATGACTCTGTCGATACTATTGCTCAAATTCAAGAAGGGTTGATTAAAAAATAAGAGAGGGTAATCTTATAAAAATGACAAAGAATCAACCAAACATCTTTTTGTGTGAATTGTAATATATTAGATACCCCGAAATTATTGTAGTGACTGTTATATACTTAAACTTAATAAAGACAGGAAATTTTAGATTTATTTAAAATTGAAATATCATTTTATTTAAAAGGGGCGGGTAAAGGAAGTTACATAAATTGTAATTATTAAAAATAAATTGTGTTAGCTAATTCTCCCCTCGTGCTTGTCGATGGAAGAGACAAAAGACTTGCAGCCAGTTGTACACGGTAAATAATGCTTGCAATATCTCGTTGTGCTTAACATGCAAGCCGTCTAAGAAGAACCTCACGAAAACAATAACGACTTCCACGACGATGACGCAGAGTTGCATGAGCAGCCAAGGCATGTGCAATATGGGATATTCCTGTGAGAGCAAAAATCTTTTACCAAGAAAGAATTTTTAAGTGATTCTAAATTATCGTTATTTTTTAATTCGTTTATATATTCACTGTGATGGCGCCTAATATAATCAATGTGTAGTGCTCGATTCCCAGTATTGACGTCATTAATTTCAAGTCTCTTTCGACGTTGATAGGCACTGCGATTAATTCAATTATTACACCATATCAAAGTACAAGCTGAAGGTGAAATAATGGGCAATGAGATAATAATAAAGAGAAATGTTACCTTCTCGAACGTTTCGGTGGCGCGAGGACGTTCTGGGAATTTTAAAATTCACTGTACGCACTATATCGAGAGCTGTGATTATCTGTAAAAATTTTAACACTGATAAGCTCTGACTTTAATAGGACGATTTTTTGTGATCTTCTATGAGATTAAAGCGCGATAATAGGTTACGTTTAACGAATGAACGAACATAATAAGAGTATTACGACGGACTAACGGTCCCAATGAGGCCTAGTACGATCACGTATGACGAACTGCCCATGACATAGTGATCGCATAAAGAGCAGGCCATTTGCCCCGCGCGTCCAATCTTCTGGAAAAAAAAAATTAAGTTCGTTCAATTTGTCAAAAAGTCGAATTACTATTACATTATTTAATTGTGTTCGGAGTATATTAGACTAATTGAAGAGATGTATCTAATTACAAAGTGTCCGCCACAGGCTTTGACGTGACGTCGATTGCGAAAGGTCATGATTCACTTCACACCCAAATTCCTTCTTTTAATTCGTTAACAATTCGTTAACAATTCCAGTCCGAATAATTTGCCTGCGCGTGACGGTGGAATTAAATGAAATAAAATAATTTGTAACCTTTTAAATAAACTATGAACATAGTAATAGCAGATTATTATTCATCAACTTCACAAAATAATCGAATGAAAATAGGTGTAGTTTAAATACGATTCGATATTAAACTCCTCGAGAGATCCCGTTGGAATCAATAACATGAAGAGCCGCGAATAATAACACAGTTCCGTGATCGACTGTAAAAGAATAAAAAATTGATCGATTCTAAATATTTTTATTTCGTCGTTGAGTAAAATTTATCATTTTGGATCATAAATTGGACAAGAATTTTTCTCGATTGGTCTGATATATATTGTTTATACGATATATATGTACGTATGGAACATTCGCGAGATAGTAATTGCGTTGATAGTGAATACGAAAGTGATTCCTTAGAAACGATGGAAGCTCATGAGAAACGTCCAACGAAAACGATAAGGCCATTTTGGGAAACTGATTGGAAAATGGCTTGGGACATGTCCTATAACGAGATTTATGCAATAATTAGAGCGATACTGCTGGTGTTTTCGATATTCTATTGGTGCTATTACAGCCTGCAATATGGACCAAGGGAGTTCACTATTTTGGAGAATGAACAGGTCCTTCCTGGTTTCGTTTTCTCAAAGAAGGCCATTATAGCTTTTTCCTATGGTTATTCCAATTGGAATTCTATAATATATGCTATTTCAGCTATTATGATGATCTATTCGATCATCTGGGTGAGTGAAATAATCAATCGAATTGCTCTTTATCCCACAGAGCTGCATATTTCTAACAATCCTTTCAGAAACGGCCGCTATTTAGTTTACCTCTCATGGGTTTTTTCTTGACGGAAATGATGTGTGACTTCTGTAATGTTATTGTGGTGATATGGTTGGTTTTCAGGAACCTTCAACTACAGACTGCGCTACCTTACACCGCGATGATTCTTCTCATGATTGGTAAGGAGAATCTTTCGTTCCGCTCAGTGGAAGCTAGAGTTTACTCATTACTGAAATCACTCTGCTAAAAAAAAAGCTTTCTATTTTCTGTTTGCACGCTTAGTAGCGGAAATATGGATGTGGCTGGGAGTTGTGCAGCTCTACGAACATCGAGTCTACAAATTGTGCTAAGTGATTCGGCATATACATTTAACTCTCTCGACGACGACGGAATTGATATAAATTTATGCACGAGTTTTAGAAATACACTTTATATAATTTGTATGTATGTGTGTATTCTTCTATATTATGTATAAAATTTCTTCGACAATTACTTGCAGCATTATTTCTTTATTATGTAAGATGAGATCTTGGTTATATCGTGTGGTCAATCGCATAAACAGTGGGACAATCGAAATCGTCGACCCAGCACTTCGATCTTAAATCAAGCATTCGCACCTCGGGGCAATTGTCGATCCTGCAAAACAATTCACAATCGTGCGACATATTCTTACATAATCGTTAAATTCTAATAATCAGGTAAGATACAAGGCCTAAAAACGAGAGGAATTAATTACAAGGAAATACGGAGGAGTAAAAGAGGGATATGTTAATTGGTATATACGTACCTCAGACAGAATTTGTCCAACGCATCTTTCATATTGTAGATTCGTGTGGTATTCTTCGACAACTCCTGCAGCAGAAATCCCAAGAATGCTTGACAATGCACTTCGGTTGCTTGCAAATCGAGCGTCAGATCGATCGCGGTCGATATATTATGTGCGCAGTTTCGCTTTTCTCCCCTGTTTCATAATAAAGGAAAAACAAAAACAGTAGTATTTTGAGTTTCATATGGCCTTCAGTCGTTGCATCATTACACAATTTATCCGTGTACGCTCACGTGCACAAGGACTCGTTGATGGTTGCCAAATTGCAATATGCACTAGGATGCATAGCGATGCCAGGAGAATTCCACAGCAAATATGCTTTCGCCGCCAGTAATAGCAGTTCGTTGCTCATATCTCTCGCGATATTCGACAACTTCGACCTAAAAATACAGAAAGAAATCAGTCAGAAGCTAAACTTGAACGAAACATTGCATTAAACAGAAACAGCCTTGCCACGCATCGCGTAATATCACCTGTTGAAGAATTCATCGATGGAGAAGTCACCACTACAAATGTTAGCATTTTGGGTAGTTAGTGCTGTTTTCAGATGAATCTCTGACGTGTCTGAATGCGCACTGGGAGTCCGTACCAAGTTGATTAAATGCATCTAAAAGAAATCGAGAGATAACTTTTATGCCAAAATGATTCAAGTTGATGTTATAATCCGTGATACGTACATTTATTTCGGGATATTCCCTCGCCGCAGCTTCGATGTAGCAGAACTCCTTTCCGGACCAGAACTGCGTAGCTTCTTTTACGAAGTAGACGTTAAAAGCTCGCTCGTCTACCAAGTTTCCTGATTCGCTGAAACGATCATACCTTAGCTAGCTTCAATATTGCATCTGTATGCATTTCGAGATTGACCTTCATTAATCTTTTTTCCTTTCTTTTCTACAAGAAGCAATTGGATGAATAATTATACCATTTGTACTTCACCGCAGGTGAACAAAATATTGCCACGACGAACGTGATGAACGTGACGAGAATCAAACTCATGACGAGACACGCTGTTACAAACAAAGATGAGAGCTCGTTCGGCCATCTACTCAAGTGAATCGCGACGCTCTTCGCAATCGGCCTTCTGATGTGCACGTACGGGAACTCTACAGCCTCAGCTTGGATTTCGTTTGAGATAAAAGGGAGCCCGTCCTCGTCCAAGCCTGAAAATTCCCCAATTTTCTTTTTTCCTCCGCCATATACATCACATAAATACTATTTAATATGTTAATCGCGAAATGAATATTTTAATAGAAACAATATCGCCCTTCTACTCGTCACAATTTTATACTGTTATATTATCGTACACTTACGCTTGACGTTCAGCATTCTCGAAGACGACTCTTTCACACTTTCGACTACTTTGGCCGACGACGCCACGAAGTTTCGGTACAATTTGCCGAGTCAACGTTTCATCACAGTCGAGCGAAATTAAACTGAACGTTTGAGAATTTGGCGAGGTGTCTATGTTGTGTAATCGAGAATGTGTCACACCATTTACACGACGGAGACTCGCGTCGTTATATTACTTTAATATTTCCGGGTTTCATTTGTTATAATATAGACGATTCAGCGATTGATATCGTCAGCTAGTAAAACTTAGGTTAAAAAGATATCTTAAAGAATGACACTCTGAAGGCAATTTCTCGTGTGTTCTTTATTATATAAACGGTGTCGTGATCAATTATGCTAGATTTCGTTCTCGCATGTCGTTTTATTTCTACAACGTTCATAATATAATATCATTAACATAATAGATCGTTAATGTAATTATGTTATTAACACAATGTATCATTCAAATATTGTGCTGTAACACAATAAAATAAATATTCTACAATGCATTGCTCTCGACTGAGTAACTTCAATAAAGGGGAATGAGCGCATTTTGCATCAATAAACGTTTCGAAGATCACATGGTGTATTAATATCATTTGCATTTAAAATTACGTATACATATAATTTATTGAAACTTAATAGCATCTCCTAAAAAGGAAAAAATAATATTCTAGTATTTTCTCGCTCACCTACAAATCATTATTCGTCTTACTTAACGTCATAGTAACAATTTAACTCCTCCGAGTCGCCGAAATCGTTAAACAATTTTCTAGATACTTTTGGAAAGCTGCGTTTTTTCATTGCTTCATTAATGTCTTGCACCTCGTCGTCTACACGCATAATTTTTTCTTCTGCGGTTGAAGCATTGGCACATTTGACTACATCGTCGTCGTCATCAACAAAACGTTGATCGTTTTCGCTTAAATAATCCATATCTTCAGTACCCTTTTTTGAACCGTTATCAACGAAGCATTTGGAAGACAAATCTCTATACGAAGAAACCCTATGCCCAATATCATGGATATTGTTGTCTATGCAATTTAATGGAACTTCAATGCACTTTACTGTGCTATTATCTTCAAAAAAGTGTTTATAAGACAGATTACTGTCCGAAGAAGCCCTATCAATTTTCTCGATGCTGTCGTTTGTACAAGAGGATATTTCGATAAAACGACGTTTAACACATTTTACGGAAATATCATCTTCATCGATGAAACACTTTCGAGAGAGATTACTGTGCGAAGAAGTCCTATTCTCGTCAACAATCTGAATATTGTCACACACGTGTCTAGATACCTCAACAATTGGCACTTGAACACATTCTTCTGCAGTAGCAAGATCACCGAGCACATTCTTTTGCGACAAGTTGTTTTCCGATGAGCTACTGTCTTCCTTTATTTCCTCGAAGCCCCCAAACCTGTTCTTTGGAATAAAATGAGGTTCTCTTCGATCGCACATCGGGCTCAAGTTCGACAGATTTCCTTCGTAAAAACCCGATTCGGGCGAGAGATCGGAAAATGGAGACACCAGTGATCGTAAGTCAGCGGGATGAAGTTTATGCTGTATTATTATCTTGGCCAGACGGCTAGCAGGCCGTCTTCTCTTCTCGCTCTCGATTCTGATCTTGTCGTGTCGTTCCACCATTGGCCGATGACCATTTGCCCACTCAGTAAAGTCATAATTCGACCGTTGATTCAACGTCAACGATTCTCTCAAGGATTGCTCACTTTCCTCCAACATCTTAATATATTTCATGTTGCTAATCGCATTACCTTCTGGCTGTTCGAAGACTTTCGTATCGTCCAAAGAATCTTGCTTCTTGTTTAAGAAAGGATCGTGTATTTCTAATCTTTCTTCAGAACACATTTCGTAATTCTTACCGTTGATTGCATTTTGTTTGGATTCTCTGAAGGGTCTTCCGTCATTCATCGCAAAAGGATCGTCAATTAAATGTCTACTAAGCTCCACTGAGGTTTTTTGCTTTTCGTTTGGGAAAAAATTTGTCTCCGGGATTTCTCCATCTCGATTTAATGAAACGGATAGTTGATCGATTGCGTTTCTTCCGGATTCCCTGAAGAATCTCCCGTCATTTAGCACAAAAGTATCATCCTTGCGATCACTATTAAGTTTTCTCAAAAGCTTTCGTTCCTCGTTCAAGAAGAAATTCGTTCTTGAGTCTTTCTGATTTCGATTTACCGGTACAATGTGGCATCTTCGATCCTGCATTCCCAACTTCCTTTCAAGATGTATTTTGCAATCCTTTTTTCTTATTTTATGTCTCCTACTGAGTTCCTGTAAAATGTCTTCGTGATTTTTTTCTGTTTTCATAAGAGGCAGCTTCTCATCCTTATAAATTTTAAAAGCGTTTCTTGCGTTTGATCTGATTATATTCTTTTCCAAAGATCTTTGTAATGGAACGTTTACTTCCCTTTCTTCAAGTATAATCTCTCGGCTGTTTCTCAGACTCTTATTTCTTTCTTCGTACATCGGAGCTCTCCGCGAAATTCCTTCCTCATCTTCGAAGATGATCTCCTGACTGTTTTTTACAATTTCTCGATTCACTGCTTCCGGCAAATGTTCAAATTCTTCATCGTCCATCACCTGAATAGAGTTAGGGTCAAAATCAAACACCCTCGACGAATCGAAGTTTTCGATCTGGGGTCCTTGCGAGATGTAGTTCGAACTTGGTTCAAATCTGCCGGGATTTCGCAACCTCTGCTCGTCCTCTGCGCTGTCGTGGCTCTTCGGGATGTCCAAGGGTGCAAGGGACACTTTTAAACGTCGCTGATAGGTCGGTTGACACCAACATTGTCTCTCCATCAAGTCCTCATCGATCAGGACACCTGGAAGACAGTCTGCGGCTTAGATTCACTCCTCAATTTCAACCAAAGAACAAATAATTGCAATTTGTCGGTTAATGCTGTTATTTGGTTTTTTATTCTCGTCATGCTAGACAGAACTTTCCTCATACAATCAAGAATATTCAGGATTGAGAAATTTTTTGACCAATTTTTTTTCTCTCCTCGAAAACGGAAATAACAGTTTCATTGTGAACGCAGAAAATGCGAAAAAATGCGGCTAAAACGAACAATTGCACTTCTTAAAGTGTGGTCTATTTATTTTACGAAAACGAACAGACCATATATATGACACATTTTTATTATTATTATTATTTTTATGTGTTACGACATACCACATCGTATTTTCTGCGCTCAAATTGAAGTATATAATTAGAAGTCAGAAAGAGCTTGCCCAGACGCCAAAAAGTTCCAAAATTACAAGAGCAGGACACCATTACGAACGGAAAAGAAGATTCGTGACATTTTGTTTCCTTTGTACATGTAGACTACACACTGAAGATCGGAATTAAAATCGCATCGCAAGAATTATTTCACGTTCCACGCTTTCTATTTTCGGGTGGATCCATCATTTTGATCGATTCAGCATGCGATCTCGATATAATTTCAATCTTCATTGCGTAGCTTCACACAGAGAGTTTATGAACGATCACAAACAAATTGACATCACAAACATAAATCCGAAAATGTCCTCTCAACTCGAGTCCTCGAAATATACCGACGGGTTTGAGCCGAATCGATGTAGTCGCCTGGTTCGTTGAAACTGGTCATCGAGCTTTCTTCAGAAATCTAACGTGTGAACGAGGTGCAGTTTATGCCTTCGGAGTGTCAATCTTGGATGGAGTTTGAATTCTACAAGTATCTTGTCGGTCTAATTGAATTATCTAACTAATCGCCAAGATAATTTATTTTATCATTTATGTTCTTCCTCAGACACCTTCTTCTTTCTCTGGTCTTTATCGCTTTATTGTCATTTCTTCTCGATCTTTATATTGCTTTATCTTTCTCTCTCTTATAACTTCTTTCCTTTGACGATGGACGATGATTACTCCATGTTCGAGAAAGAAGGACGGATGTAAAAAAAACTGGTGGCGAGTTTTGGTCGTACAAGTCACACTTGTCCTCTTTTGCTCTCACTCACACATGTACGCTCGCACGCACGCATATTCTCTCGCTCTTTTTCTAATGTAGAAAAACCGACGTCACACGCCCGGGCAGTCGTCGATTGACGGAATGTCGATGTGCAGTTTGGGCGGCCCTTGGGAAGAGGAATGACCCTGATGAACGAGGTGGAAGCCTGTGCTGTCGGAAGCCCGGGGGAGCGTGTCGAGCACGATCGGGGCGCTCTTCGGCTCGCTAGGAACTCGCCTTAGTCCTCCATCTGTGGTACAGCCGGTATCGGACGGTCAGACAAGGACGATTACATGCCAAGCTATGTGAGGCGCCTAGCTTTCGAGTTATTCCGCTCATAGTGGAAGGGAAAGTGAAGCAGAAGGTTAAAAATCCAAGCAACTAAGATATGTAAAGCCGCATGCAAGATGCACAAATTAACAAAAAGGCGATGTCATATATTTGAAGGAAAGAAAAAGCGGTAGAGAAAAAACTTAGCAAATTCTAGAGATAACTTCAAGCAAACATATCGACGTGTTATAGCAAGCAAACACGTCGCCTATCAATGAGATAACATCGACTCGGCGAGGAATGTAGATCGCGATGCGGATAGAATCCGTTTTGATACCGATGTGACAAATCCTGTATCTCTAGAACCGTCGATAGTCGGGTACCTACGCAGCACGTACCGAACGGAAAAAAAAAATACTTTGAAAACCCACCGGTATTCGCACTGTCACATCTTATCTATTTCGGTTCTCCGAACAGCATCAGTCGCATGATTTTTGTGCTGATTCGGTAAGCCGAGGGTGAAAAGAAAAGACAACTGCTCACCGGTCCCATGACGAAGATCGTCCTGCACCCTGTAAAATTCGGCGAGTTCCTTGCCGGAACACAACGGGGTGTCGACCTGAGTGGTGCTGTCGAACAGCGAATAATCCACCTCGTAGCCCTGCCGTTCCTTCGAGTAGTTCACCATCGGGTCGAATCGGTGGCCCCAGAGGATCTCCTGCGGCAGATAGCTGGTTCTGGCCTGTGTGGTCTGCCCCGTGGACTCGATGGTGCCCTCGAGGATCAGCACCACTTCGAAACGGTCGATCAGCATGTCCTCAGCCGACATGTTGTAAAATGGTGACTCCTCGTTGATCCGATGGATGATGGTGGTCGGCCAGATGAAAAACAGGTCGCCATTCTGGCCGTCGGTGCCTACCACCAGTTCCTGTTGGTTCTGCGACAGTATTTCGCCTTCCTTCGTAGTCCTGTTGCGAATCACCTGAGCGCGAACGGTCGCGCCGATGATGTGACTCTTCCGCATGTCGCCCACGCGGAACATGAGACAGAGCTCACCGTCCCGTTGGCAGATCACGGCGTTCCGCGAGAACAACAGTGTCTGAGTGCGTTGTCTCGGCCGTGTCATCTTGGCGAACACGATGCCCACCTGCGATCGTCGTGTCGTTAATCCTCCGATTCGCCTTGATTAAGTTCCTCGGCTGGAGTAAACGAGAAAGACTCACCATGAAGGCCTGGATCATAACGCCGGAGATGCTCTGAATGCACATGACGAAGATGGCCTCGGGACACTCCTCGGTGGTGGAGCGACCGCCGAATCCGATGGTGTGCTGGTTCTCGATACTGAAGAGGAAGCAGCTGGTGAAGCTGAAGATATTGTAAACGCAGGGCGTCCAGTTGTTTTCCACCTGGGACGGCGGCAGGTGGCGTTCCTCGAAGTCACCGTGAGTGAAGGCGATCAGCCACCTGGACACATCGCGAGTTTGAAGCTTACAGTTCAAGAGCTTTCATCCGAGAGATATCTTATACTTTCAGCTTCTCCCGTCAAACTGATACGCACCAGATCACCGCGAAGGCCAGCCAGGACAAGAAGAAGCTCAGGATGAAGCACAGCAGCGTCCAACGCCATTGCGTGTCTACGAGGGTCGTGAAGATATCCTGCAGGAAGCGCAGCGATCGCCTGGAGATGCGCGACTGCAGCACGTTGCACTCGCCGTTCTTCAAGACGGCGCGACGACGTAGCTTCCGCGTCGGTCCAGCCCGGTATCGGCTCCTGGAATATCAGTGTCACCGTAAATGAAGGGAGAGCCTCGTTCACAGACGGACGATTAATTCACGGTACGTCGCAACCTCTTTGGGATGCGTCGGAAAATGCTTCACCTTTCCAACGGTAGCTCAGCGAGCGCGAAGTTTTCAAGATAGAGACAGAACGCGAGCCGAGATACCTCTGTGGCGTACTATTTCGCCTCTGCGAGAAAGATTATCGTCGATACGTGCGTTTTTAAATGCAAAATGCAAAACCACCGACGTGACGCATTGTCAACAAGGTCGTTTGGCATCACGGCTTTTGTAGACATGTGGATCAACCGCGCGCGATTGCGCCAGACGCATTACGCGATGAGAGGAGTAGGATTTGAATAACAAATCCCGACGCGCGCGTGTCGTGATCTTCGGTCGTCGAAATTTACATAATAAAAATACTGAACGAGCAATCACTCAGGCGTGATATAAAATCGTAATATTCAACGGAGAACGATCCGGAGAGGACGGATCGAGGAATTTCAAAGCGCACGATGCAAAGGATCGACTCACTCACCATGGATCTCTGCGCATTGTGCGTCATTGTTCCCGAACTTTGGCATGACAAACAATCAAAGTATTGCAAAGTGCGGCACAAAGGGAATAGCCGATCGGCTCGTTACCAGCGAACGTGTTTTTCCAATAACGCGGTCCCCCCCTCGTGTCCACGCGCGTTATCGTATTCAATTATACAAATAAATAAAATGCACTGACTCCAACGCGGCAAAACGATCGGATCGAGTGTTCAACGAATGCCCGGAAATCCACAAATCACTTGTATCAACTGCGTGTTAACTTCGGATGCAGCGAACGAATGATCCATATGAGAGCTCGCAGATTTCACTATCCACCTCGATGCGTGTTACACGCAATTTTCCCCGTGTTGTTCCTCTCCGCATATCGTATTTCGATTTTCGCGGACGCGCCCGAGTTAGCTCAGCTACGGACGAACTACGAACCGGAGACTCGCATTATGCGAGAAGCTACGTCACTGTCGGCGGCCCGACGTCGAGAAGACTCTCGCGTCGGGGAAGCCTCCCTCGTCTCCCTTTCCTCCGGGCGTAGACAAAAAGGAAGTCGCCATTTTGACTTTGAACGATAACCCGAGCAGCCGTTATCTACCAATTTACTTATTGCCACGCGTTAATCAGTCAGTGAGCCAGCGGCCAGCCTCCGTCTCCGGGTCGATGATACCACGATCAGCTGATCGGGCAGAGATCGCTCGCAACGAAGATACGTAACCACTTTTTCTCCCATCGCTGAAATCGCGCAAATTGTGTTTTTCTTCTAGTTTTACATTTATTCAGCAGCTGCGGTGTGTGTGTGTGTTTCTTATTTAATTTTACATGAGATGTGAAAAATATATAACGCGCAAACGAAGCGTTTATTTGTTTCGCGACACTTGACCAAATAGAAACGTAATTTATATCACTGTTTATGTAATTTTTCTAACTTTATTCTTATACGAACACATACATTTTCATTAACTGTCTAAATATTTAGTCTTTCGCGAGCGATTTAGCACAGCCTCGAGCGATCCGTCGTTAAGATACCGTCTTGGATCTCTAAGACGCTTATCAAGTCTCGCGAGACATTGATAAGAGAACCAGAGAATAGGTAAATCCGCACTTGTGCAATCTCATTTGCACGGGATTCTATGTTCGCGTAAAACGACACTTAACTTCTCTCACACACTGGAAACGGATATACTATAAATATTAGTATATCGCATGTTATATGGCAAACTGTTTAACGCTGTTTACTGAGAAAGAGTCAAGAGTTTGTTGTTATACATATCGGCAAAAATATTGTATTACACGAGAAAGCCACAGTGTTATCACACATGCCGTTGCAGACGTCATCGCCGTCACGAGGATATGCAACAGCGGCCGCGCGTTGACGTGCAATTTTTCACACTTCTCAATTTTTGAAGACGGAGATAATTGAAGCGTTGAGAATGCAAGAATATAAACTCCAAGCTTAGTCTCGGTAAATTGTAAGCCGCTTATGCAGATGACAATAACTCCACCGCATAATAATCTTTGTTTCCGTTTTCCTCGAACCTATTTTAACTTCTATTTTTCTCGAACCTTGTGATTCGTGTGATTTAATACACTTGTATTTTTAGCGCTTTGATTGCGACGTCGAAGGTCAAGAAAAAGGAACGAATGTGAAAAAGAAAAAAAAAACGAGAACAAAGAAACACCGGCGACGAGCGTCGGGAAATTTCGGGAGATTATGCGTCAGGATCGTTCTCCATTTACCTGTACCTGAAAGATGAGTACGGATTCTTCGACACTTGCAGGATCATCGGCGTCGTCGGCGTGGTCGGCGGCAGCAGCTTCTGCTCTTCCCCGCAATCGGGCGACGACGACGATTTGTCGCTCATTTTCGGCACATTACCATTCATACCGTTCATTCCGTTCATCTTAATTCGCTCTCGATACACACCACCCCAATCTTTCAATTCCGAATGTCCTAAATATTGAGCGTGGCTCATTTAAAAGGTGGGTCCAAAGATGGGTCGATAATGCAATTGTGCGATATTGCAGTTGTTGGCGTTCTAAATTGATAAATTCACTGATTGCAAAGATTCTGTTCTAATCTTCTTCATTCCCGATATTTGATACAAAATCCTCCTTCTTGCGAAGACGCGCGGTGTACTGAGGCTTCACCTTTGCACTATCGCGAGCTCTCGCCTGATCTAAAGATTTTTACAGTTTTCTAATCTGATGACGTAGTCGGAACTGATAAATAAGTAATCAGTACTTTTATACTTTCTCACCTATTGATTCTCTTTGTTTTTGCGAAAAGATTTGGAGTATTTCATTTTTCCCACTCGACAGATAATCACAACGTTTCCTCTTCGCCTCGCAAATGCAAGATCATCTTCTTTTAAAGATAATATCTCCGGCCGATCGTTCGAGTTCACGACGCTGTCAAAGTTATTGCTGAAGAAATTCCCGGCATTTGTGTATTTTTCCACTTTTTCATTATTCGCGCGGGTGGAGATTTTTGTCCTTACTCCTTGTATTCCCAACTGTGAGGTCTGTTTTCCACCGGGAACTATCTATTTTGTTCCACGACACACACTTAAGATCGTCGACAAACACATCCTCAAAACTTGCGTATTTCCACCTTGCTGAATCGTTTTTTTTTTTTCAACAAAAGTTGGACATCTTCCGGACCTTCGGTCCGTTATTCCAAATCGTTAAGCCCCGAAATCCACTCTTCTTTAAGTAGCAGCCTCCCTCATTCAGCCTTCCAATTCACGACGCACTAGGATAACGATGAATGGATCTTCCTAGGCCAGATTCGATCGATAGATGACGCGCGACGAAGGCGGATGGTAGGTGGCGGGTCTACTGGTATGCACTCTGCTGATCCAGGAGGTCTTATAGCGCGCGCACACAGTGACTACCGGCTGCCGTTTATCGGCCGCTAACAAACCGCCGTTTGTTCTTCTTGTTCGCGAAGAAAAGGTGATCATTGATAGTCGCGACCGGTTGCGTCACTCTCTGCGATCGCACTCGCGACAAACAGCGAAAAAGTCGTTCGATTGCCTTTTAATCTTTTCCCTATTCGCGAATATATCGATGATCGCTTTGTTGCGAAGAGTCGATAACACATAAATTCGAGGAAAAAGCCGTTCGAACTCTCCACGATCGACGCTAGAGCTTAGAATCGTGAGCGAACGCAGTCGCGATTCGCGCGTCTCTCTCACTGACTAACTGACTGACTGATGCCGTGTATTTCTTATCAACGTCTTGACATCTCGTTATCGGCATACGACCGGCCGCTAAAATCGCTGATATACGCAAAGCATGTGACGTGCCAAAAGGTTTATCTCCCGTCTTCTCGGTCGGAGATAGACACATATGACCGTCAGTGGGTACTATAAATTTCGTTAAGTTTTAATATTATCGAGAGTATTAAAAAAATTAATACATACTTCAGATGGGAATTTATAGAAATGCTTCATTTACACATTTATAGCAATAAGACAAATAATAACGAAATAAGTAATGACAATAGATGTACGTTGTAAAGTGGTTGCAATTTAGCTAACAAGCTAAAGTAATATATATCTATATACGTTATTTGGCTTATAAATATATTTTCAGGCTTACTCGGCTCATACAAGATACCGTTCTGGTAACGAACCTAATAGTTGCACGCGAACTCCGAGCTTACTAATTGAGTTGGTGTTTAAACGGCAAAAAAAGTAAATCTGTTGCAACCAACCAGCTGCTTCGCTTCGTACTAGTGGACCTCCTCGTCGAAACGCTCGATCTTCCGCGACGGTGCCGATCTCTCGCGATCTCAGTGCTTCGGGTTGCGATCATGATGATCGATCCGCGCGAATCAAATCAGCGGCGAAAAGCTGCTCGATTCGGCAGTACGGTCTCGTTTGCGGCTGGTTTGCGGGCTCAATTGACCGTTATCACGCGGCGATAACTAGCCTTTCAATTAAATTAACGAACGGCTCGACGAAGGCTGCGTGCGACAGACAATTTCTGGACTCGCGTAGCGCCGATTCTCGACGAGATTTTCGTAATTTCCCGTTCGAACGCATTCAGATTCAACGTAGAAAAAGGAAAGTGCATTGTTAATTTTCTGATCGTCAAAACGAAAGTCCAAGAATCGAGACCGATTTCCCTCGGTTTCCGTCCGCGATCACGCTCCTCTAAATTTAGCAATTCGATCATTGAAATTAGCAATCGGCTAATATCTTCCACATCGATTTCTTTGTCTACCTGTTTAAAGATTCACGGAGAACACCTGTCGTGGCGCGAAGGCGCCGATAATCACGCCGGCAAACGCGACGATTTTAGCTAAGAACGGCGCCTTCACGCGGAAATATACAATCTCGTGATTTGCGACGTCTTCTCTGTGAGGTCCGCAGTGGGCAAATATAAAAGTGTCGCTGTGCTATTGCCTTTAAAACAAGGTGGAAGGTTAATACTTCTCCGAAGCTGCAACGGACGCTCGCTAAATTGTGCGTGATATAATTAATGATAAGTTCTGTTATCATATTGCAATAACGGATTGACCGAGAAATCATACAATATTTCAGTGTCACTTGGGAAGCTCAGGCAGGATACTCATCTGATCGATCTGGAACGAATCTCCCCCCGCAGGAAATAATAGAAGAAGTCTCCGCTTCTATTTCGATATTGTAGTCGATTTTACTTCTCTTTCTCTCTTGCATGATTAATTTACAGAATAAATGTCCACAACTGTCTATTGTCAAGGATCTCCCGCTGCTGTTGCGATTTGAACAAAAGAGAAGGTTTACACGACTTTACAGCGGGATGCTCCAAAATGCGAGGCTAAGAGTTACGGAGTTCACGGTAGTGTCACGTCGTATGTACCGAGCGCGCAACGTGCAGACGTATAACGTCGCGATAATAATGTCGCGCGTCACTCGACTCTGATAAACGACCGAACTCGTTAGGAATGGGAATAGCGGCTGAAGGGTAAACACACGCGCACGCGGTAACCTCGGTCGCGCGCACGCGAAACGTAACGTTAATAAAACGCATGGGTGAGCGTTAATTGCGTCTAACAGCGACGTTATTTGCTCGTCCGATCAGAAAGAGTGAGAGAGAGATAGAGAGACTTATCCTCAAAGTTCTGTTCTTCTCGCACGATGGAGACGACATCGCGCCCTTCGGTAACGCGAACGAGCAACAACGTTCACTTTCAAAGGTGAGATATTCACATGACGTTATCAGCATTTCGCAGTCTCTCGTTATCATAAATGCGCCGGAGGACTCTGCATTGTTCTTTTCGCGGTATTTAGCCAATTATCAGAGGGTCTCACCTGGTCGAATCTTGCCGACAGACCCCGCCGACGATGCTGCTGCTCTGCGTGCTGACCCGAATGAGAGTGACATTCCTGGGCAGGCCGGTGCCGACCTTCTGCCCCAGCAGGGGCGATTCCGCTCGCACTACGTTCTCCAGAACTTCCCTCGGCGCCCGGCTCTCCGCCTTCTCCTCTTCCTCCTCTTCTTCGATTGTTCCCGGCAGCCGAAAGAGTTTCTGCGATGGTTCCTCCATCCTTCCGGTCCGCCACTTCAGGAAGAGAACCGCGTCAAGCTCGAGTCCATTTCGGCAACTCGTTCGACTTTGTCTCTTCTTCCCCTTTCTCTCTTCGTTACTCCTTATCAGATCTCTGCTTCGGACACCGATTGTTAAGATCGATCCTCACGAGGAGCACCCCATCTCGATCCTCTCGATCATCGCCTCTCTTCGACTAATCCTCTACTTGGGTCGATCGTTCGCTCCGCTTCCTCCCGATATTTTCGCCTCCTTTCCCTCAGTTAATTGGAGATATCGATCCTCGAGGCCGGCCGCCGATCATCCGACATCACTCGATCTTCCCAAGTCCCGGTCCCCCCTTGAGCCTGCAAGATCAATTGCGTTCGAATAAAGTTTCGAGCGAGCTAAGAGAGCGGGGATATATTCGCGCGACGACTTCGGCCATCCCCCGGCGACATTCGAGCGACGCTTTTCGGCGCTTTCCCGACACGTTGGAAGCACACCGCACGCGCGTCGCGACTGCTTCGGAATCGTGCTCTATTCGCACGCGAGATCTCACCATGGAGCGCGTTTACCTCTTTAGTGCGCGCGCGGGCGGGGATAATACGCACGCCGTGATCATTGCACGCATGTTAAGCCCGTTTCAGGCGATCCATAATTCAGGACAGCGGTCCGTTTTGGATTTAAGTTGGAAGTTTCGCGGCCGAAGAGGAGCCAGCCGGAATTCAAATTCATAGGCGTCACGCGGCAGACACGTGGCAGAGGCGGGGAAATTCAAGCTCGAGGAAACCTCTCTGAGGTGGCAACATACGACCTGACGGTTTCACTTGCTTGAGTTCTGGTCGGATTTGACAAGTTTGTTGGGATGTAAAGCGTATTTTATGCAAAGTTGCTCGCGATAAGAGGGATTCCAGTTAAAAGTACGACCCAAACGAAGTTACGATTCCCACCGATCCTACAATCCCGTGATAAATTTCTTTACCGTCGTTATAGAAATAAAGAAAGGATGAATGCCTGAAACGGACCTAACGTCGCGTGGAATCTAACGCGGCGTAACGCTCGCTCGCGCGCGTTTCCTCCCGCGCCGGAAATGTATCTCGGTGGGCACGCGAAGGCACACGAGGGCCGTTATTAACCCTCCATATAGATTTACGGATCCTCCGCGCTCGCGTGTCCAAATGAGCTCATTCTAAAAATAAAAGGTAGAAAACGAGAGGTCGCACCGCGCTTTTTGAGCCGATTAATCTTACGCTGAAGTGTGCGAAGGCGAAAATTGGGATCAGATATATTTCGCGAAATCTCTAAGTCCGAAAAAGAAGTCTTCTTCTGGATCCCCACAACTCCACTCTGTCACTTCGAATGTTTTCCTCGCTTTGAAACATCCTGTATATATTGACACATACCTCCGCGGATGTCACGCATGACTACGATGTTCGCCTCGTAAAGGCGCTCGTCGCCACTTCGGTCGCCGGGATTCCCGAATTTGTCGAGTACGCACCACCACAAACGCGCGAGTTACCTCCGTTCGTAAACTTCTTTCAATGGGAATATATACGTGTGTGATACGTCGCGGAACCACGAGTAGTCGACTTCTCACTCTCGCGACGCGAGAAGAGGCGCATCAACGGGCTTTTTCAGTGACGTCACCCGTTTGATCTCTCTTCTTCATCTCTCTTGTCTCCCCTTCTTTTCTCACTGTTTCTCTCTCTTTCTCTCTTCCTTTCAAGTAACCTTCCAACTGCCTCCTACTCGTCTCTGCGAGATCAAGAATCGACGCGAAAATACTGCCAGCGAGCCGTCCACGTCGAAAGCGTATTTATTTAATAAATAAACTTTAAGCATTTATCGTAGAAAAGCCCGTATTTTTAACGACACGTAATCCGTCGGCATTCGTGAATTCATTTTCACTCAAAGAAATTTGAAGATTCGTAAATCCGCGCGTTCTCATGCTCGCAAGGACGTCCGCCAGGTAGGGACTGTCCAAATTGCCGTAACTGGGCCACAAAGATGTCACGCAGTGCACTCGCAGTACGACTTAAGTCCCTCTAATTGCGCAGCATCCGGGCCTTAACGATTAAAGAGCGCAGCGTACTCGCCGCGTCCTTGTGCCCGGCATGTAACGTATCCTATCTCGCTTCCTGACGCGCGCAACGACGATTCATCCGTCTAGCTCTCATAACTATTGCGGCTTTCTAAGGTGTCGTTATATCCGTCATTACGTATTTACTCGAAAACGGGCAGAATTATATGACGCTCAACTTGTATTCTTCTTTAAGAGAGTTCTTAACCCTTTAACGCATGGTTTTTCTACGACTAGAACAATAATGTAAATACTAAAACAGTTTTTTAATATTACATTATATCGTAACTTTAGTGTAATTCTTTTTATGCCCGAGTTAAAACGAGCGCGTGCATCATGGTGAAATAAAACGCTGCCCGAATCAAGGTGTTAAAGCAGAAAGATTACGAGAGATTATTGAAAATGTAACACAAGCGCGTGAGCACGTAAAAAATTTCCTTCTTTTTAATACCCACGAAGAGGGCTCGAAAGGATAATCCTTATTTCCGAAATCAAACACACGAGCCGGCCGTGAATTATCATTCACAATGCGCCGAACAATCAGCATATCAGACCGAGGACAAACGGAGTGTGTCCGCGATTCGTCTCGGCAAGGTGATACGCTTTTTCCATTCTTAACAGCGCGACGGCGCGCGCTGTCATCCTAGACGACGGCCATTGTCACCAGAGACGTCAATGTCACTCGCGCGTTTGCGTAATTAATGCAGCTCGATTTGCGCGATTTCTATGCAGATTATAAATATCGAAATTTCAGCGAGTCTCTCGACCGTCCGACCGCGAAATCGTGACGTCAACAGCTGGTTGAAGGGCACGGGAGGAAAAGAGAGACGGACTGATAATCAGCTGCCGGGGGTCATGGGGAGAGATAGATGGAATTAGCTTAGTACCGGGAAGTGGCCTCATTATCACGCCAGTCAATCGCTTAATCTCGCCGCTCGTTTAACACGTCGTTGAAGCGTGTATCACACGGGCGTGCTCGCTCGCGTGTGTAGCAGGTGTTCGCCAGAAGCTTAAAATTTACCTGTGCTTAGTGAGTGGGGCAAGACGTGTTTTCGGAATGGTCGCGATTCGCCAGTGCTTCTTCCTCGAGAAGGAAGCTCGTCTTCTGGGCAACTTCCTGGATTTTGCGGCCGTCGCACAGGCTGGACCTCGTCTCGGGAGGATGCTGCGTCTCCGAAGAGTTCGCGCAACATCTGCGTCGAGAACGAACAGAGCGAAGAATTCTTGTGAAACACTTCTGGCATTTACCTCGATCATTCATCGTGCGAGATACATCGTTGTTAGGTATCGGTGATCTTGTTAAGAAAAATCATTACGACTCACTCGGTACTCGAGTTGCTCCTGGAAGATGGCCTCCTCAGGTCACTTCCTGGAGTCTCCTCCGCGATCGATCTGGAATTCGATCTCGCGTCGCTCTTTCTCGAGTCTAACGTTGCTTTCGATTCATTCCGTTGTATCCCACTTTCCGTGCCATTTTGCTTCTTGTTCTTCCTCAGACTTGCGTTGATGTCTTCAAGGACACGCTCGTAATCCTCTTTTTGTGACGACCCTGAGTTCTCGGTGTCGCGTCCGAATTTTGCCGTCTGTCGAACAAAATTGAGGTAATTATTATTGTAATTAAAATCCGTATTTCGTGTGTAACCTAATATATCCATTCATCTAATATTAATCGACGACTCGCCTTTTCTTGCGCATAAAAAGACGACACGTCAGGATGCACATTGACGCTTTCCCGCCTGCAAGAACCGTCCGGATCGGTGATCATCACCGAAATAGGATTCGGAGGTGTCGTTAACACCGTCGCTGGCATCGACGATTGCATGTGCAGTCCGCCGGAGGAAGACCTCAAACTCGATCCTCTCGAGCTGGTAGTCAAGGAGCTGCTGCTGGAAGCGTCGTTGTAGCCCGAGAATGCACCTGGCCCGGTGCGTTCTGGAGAATAGAAATTTTTCACCGCGTCCATTTCTACAAACTAACAATGACACTGCCATCGGCATGCTTCCACCGAAGAATTTATTTCATTGCGATTATTCTCGAAGATATATGAGAGAATCAGATAAAATAAAATTCGATAAAATAATAATTGTTAACATATTACTTTTCAATATATTCATCTTGTCAAAGTAAGATAGAAATTTCCGTTTTTTAACAGACAAAATTTTTTCACTAGAGGTTTGAACAAAAATTTCTCTTCCGCATCTCTTTCGGCATTTCGCACCTGTTTTCGAGCGATGATGTATGGCGCGGATGCGATCGAGATCGGCAGCGCTGCAGAGCGGCGTATCCACCTCGTACGTGTTGTTGAAGAGCGTGTAGTTGACCTCGTACTCGCCGGTCTCTTTGCGAAACGTGATGATAGGCTCGAACCGGTGACCCCACAGGATCTCGGACGGTAAATAGGAGCTTCTCGCCTGCGTCGTCATGCCGGTCGATTCGATCACTCCTGTTAATCATACATAATAATTGCTGATCACCGTTGTTGATTACCCTCGTCGTGAATTTTAAGCTTTCATCGATGACAAATAATAAATAAATAAATATATGACGACACACTCTTACCTTCCAGTATCACGACGATCTCGAATCGCTCTCGCAGCATGTCGCTGGCCGATATCCGGTAGAGCGGCGAGTTCCGATCGATCTTGTGCACGATCGTGGTGGGCCAGATGAAGAAGATCTTGTCTTCCTCGCCGTCGCCGCCAACCTTCAGCTCCGTCTGGAAGAACGGCAGCAATTCGCCCTCCTTCGTCACCTGAAGGACACAAGTCGCGCCTGCTTAGTGTCGTTACACTCTTATTTTGTTGTAGCGACACCATTAGACTAAGTCCCGTGAAATATCTATCGTACCTTTCTCTTGATCATTTGGGCGCGGACGTGGGCCTCGATGATGTGGCTCTTACGCATATCGCCAACGCGAAACATGAGGCAGGACTGACCGTCCCGTTGGCAAATGACGGCATTCCGCGAGAAAAGAAGAGTCTGCGTGCGCTTTTTGGGCCGCGACAGCTTGGCGAACACGATGCCGACCATAAACGCCTGCAGGATCACGCCCGTCATCGACTGGATACACAGCGTGAAGATCGCCTCCGGGCATTCATCCGTCGTGTGCTTCGCCCCGTACCTGTGTCATCGACGTCTTCATTAAGAGCTTGTAACACGATATCAGGGCGAAAGTAACATGACGATGTATAACGTAATTACCCGATGGTGTGCTGCGTCTCGACGGAAAATAAGAAGCAGCTGGTGAAACTGCGGATGTCTTGGACGCAGGGTATGAAGGTGTGATTGTTGAAATTCTGAGGCTCCAGATCACCGTGGCTGTAGGCGATCAGCCACCATATGAGTGCGAAGCCTAGCCAGGACAGCAGGAAATTCATGGAGAACACCAACAGCGTCCATCGCCACTGCGCGTCCACCAACGTCGTGAATATGTCCTGCGAACGAATTGATTGTAATTTAATAATGTTGATTCTTATCGCTCGGTTAATACGCAGAAAGAGAAATTTCGAATATCAACATTCTCTTCTACGTTTGATGCAACTTGTGGGAATAAACTCGCCTGGAGGTACCGCCGACGTCGCTTGGCGACGTTCCCCTGCACGACGTTGCAATCGCCGTGCTTGAAAACGACCCTTTTGCGGACCCTTCTGGAACTGAATCTGGTCTGGCGATACCTTGAAAGAAGAGTCAGACGCAATTAATTCGGACCCGACTGATTTTCCGCTACAAAGTTAGATCGAGACGCTTGAATACATCATATACATTCGCACTATATATATATATATGTTATTGCACAGTGCGTTAGACTGGGAGAGATCGCTGAAAATAATTCCGACAGTTTTAGAACATAATCATAGTTGTCGAAATTGTTTATAGACGTTGTGTGTTACACAATCTCTTAGCGTCTCGTCTCGCGGAAATTTGTAGATCAAAGGCAGCTTTCAGCGAGACGATTGCGAAAGCTCCACCCCTTTGAACTCCGTATTTATGCGGCAATACTCACTGCCGAAAATAGAAACAGTAGCCTATTCATTTAAAAAATTCAGACAGTCCTTTTTATATAAATATCAAAAATTTAGAAATACAGGAATTCCTTAATTGGTGAGATGTTAAATTTAACGAACACAAAGTACAAATTATAATCTAAATTTATTATACATTTTTTGTAGAAATTTAATTATTTTAATTTCTTACATTTGCTTATACACATATATATCTTTTCGAATTTATAATATATATTTTTATGCATGTAACGTATGTACTTTATTAATTTTTTTACGTGTAATATAATTTCCCGTGAGCTGAATATACTTCAAATGTATCGCGTCGAAGATGATTTTTCAGTGGTGTGCCTACGCGAAATACTCATGAACGCTATTTAAAATCACCACTCGATCTATTTTTGCGTCGCGGGTCAATATGTCAGGGTTGAAAGTCGCGAAATCGCGCGAATTTAGAACGCCTTACGACAACGGTGAGACTAGCAAAACTAAATGACGGAGACTAATTCGAGAGATTTCGAAACGGTTCGCCGATAGTGATACAATAGACATATTGTGATATATCGGTGCGATACGAATAAAACGGGCTTCTGCCGTATTTATTGCGTCCTATTTCGGCACTTATGGTTCACAAATATCTGCAAATAATTGTAGACTAATGAGTTGGTCACACAGACGAAAGATTAATTTGAAATATTGCGCGACTACTCGGAGGATGGCAAACGGCTAGCTGAATCCGCCCGGTGCGATCTTCCAGTGATGGTAATTCGTTGTGCTTATGCCATTAGGTTCATCGCCGCTAGTTGCCATAATCGCGGACACTTTCCCGTCTTGACGACGCGTGGGTGGCTATTTCGAAACGAAAACACGCCTCGCACGCACAGCCACGCCGATATTTCGGTAACAAATTCTAATGGGAATTCTATTAAAGTCGCATGAGGCCAAATAAGAACATTGCGCGCTGCCGAGTATCGAGAAATGTAAAAAATAAAAGAAGATACAACAAATGATGGAAGAAACGAACAATTTCGTAGAAATGAGCGAATTAATTTTCGGATGAAAATACGAGGATAATCGACGATTGTTTTCAGTCGTGATTATTTCTTTTGGAGGGGAGAGGAACGCGGTCGAGAGCGGTTACTTGAGCAACTCTTCGCGCCAGACCGCCTCGCCGGAAGTCGTTGCCTTCACGACCATCATGGACACTTGCGAAATTGCTCGTCGCAGCCCCCACAGCCCACCCATACCGACCGTCTCGCCCGGACGATGGATCCTCGCAGCATCCAAGGTGCGTCGTCGTCCTGACGACGTTGCCGCCTCCATCTGTCGCGTCCAAAAATTCGCGGAGTAACAATTAAGACAGAAATTGTTTAATAATGTAGTACGCTATATTTTTGAAATTATATATATATATATATATGTGTGTGTGCGTGTGTGTATATGTTTAAAGTATTTATTTTGAGGAAAGTGATTAAATAGAAATCAAGATATTTTTTATTTCACTGTTAGCTTAGTATCATCAACAATGATAATTATTCATTATTGCGTACAATTCGCGCCAAACGATTCGAAATTCGTCAAAAAAATGAGCTTTATTAATTACAGAAAAATAACCAAGATCGAACATATCAGACACGGTGTTCGGTGATGAATTACTTATCGATTTCTTCGCGCTTTGCTGTGAGACAGACGCAATGAACGCGGTTAATTAGGACCGTTCGTTAACGTAAGCGAAGCTAACGGGGCACTGCGGTTACCATTTCGGTTGTCGGCCGGCCAAGAACGACTTCTCCCTTTTGTCTTCGCGCGTTTTGGCACGAATCGCCGTTGAACCGTTTTACGGAGAAGGGAGGGTCTCGTCGATGAAGTTTTTAATTTAAGAAATCAATATAAATTTAAAATAACGAAATTAACTCTCTCAACTTTCTTTTTCCTCTGATCCATATAAATCATGACAGACTAGCGGACCGCAACGATTAACCACATTATAAAAGAGCAGACTATTTGATTGAATTTAAATAATATCACCGAGCAGATTTAAAAATAACAATACAATGTCGTAAATAGAGAGTATAAAGTGACGATAAACCGAAATTACTTGTTCGATAGTGAAATTAAATTTTTCTCAAATTATATTATCTCTAGTCATAAAAATTTCAATAGTTTGAGGTTACTTCTGGCGCGCGAAAAACACATCCATTCGGCCCTCACGATTAAGGTGCTTCTATTTTCGTACAGAGGGAAGGAGAGGAATAAAGATTTCCGGCAATTGCTGCTTTTGAAATAGCAGTCGCGCGTCGCTATTTTCGGCAGGTTCCGTAAATGATGCGTATTGTGATGTGAATTTTACGTCGTCGGGCATATTTTCGGGACGCCACCAGCAAATAAATACCTAATAATACGATTCGTTTTATCACTTTATTGCTTATTTATTTAATTATTCGATTAGGAGAGTAAGTAATTTTAGTCATGTGAGTGTGTTGCTTCACTTATTCGTTTGTTTACCTTCACACTTTTCGACAACTTTTTTATCGTTTATCTCTTCAATTAGTATGTTTTGCGAAAAATTTTGAATACTGAGTGGACATTCCCCATCTTCTTCGGGTTAACGAGTATTAACGTCCTCCGTTGTGGAAGAAACTGCGTTAACGAGTGAATTAAACTCGAGCTGTTCGCACGATGTCCTCGTCGAGTATCGCACGCGGAAAACGATAACTTATCGTTTTCCTATCGGAATTCGCTTATGCAATATAACTCGCGCGTGGATATTTACATAAGCGGAGCTGCAAGCATCGCGTTTACATTTCGTTTAGGCGACGCGTTTTGAAAATAAAACTAATAACGTTTGTTTACGACCAAAGTGCGAGCATAATATAAAATATATAATTTTATAGAATATATATAAAATCCCATGATATTACATACATACGCACAAGCTTCTCCATATATATTTATATTATACACTTCTCTACTAAAATTTTATAGATGAAATATGTTCTCTCTTATTCATATTCTTCCTCTTTCTCTCTTCCTTTTATCCTATCTCTCTCTCTCTCTCTCTCTCTCTCTTTCTCGGCTTGTCTTTCAACGTTACCTTAATATTAAACGAATAATAATCGTTGTCGTTATGCTACAAATTTGCATCATCCTCCGTTCGCTTGTAAATCGACACTTGTACAACCGTTGTGTGTGCGTGTGCGACGATCGCAAAGTGCGAGAGATAAAGTGCAAAGAGCGACAAGCCATAAATTTGCTGCTCGTCTCGCTCGGCGATAAAATATGCCCGGTATAAATGTCTAAATTGATCGTTTCATTTCTGGCTTTCTATAACCTTGAACGTTCTGTTATCATGAGATGTTGAACTTGTCCTGACGCGACCACTTTCGTAGAAATGAAAAAGAAAAGTCAATGCTCTTCGTTGAAAAAGAAACTGTTCAAGTTACCTTCGCATTTCAAGCATTGTGAATATCGAGCGTTGTTAATATACCCGCTCTGTTTAATAACTTTTATAGAAAATAACACTGTTCACTTACAGCCACAGATGAAAGATCGAGACGCGACGAAATCCACACGGATTTTTCATTATCAACCATTATTTGCTTAATTATTCAAGTACTTTTTCGCGACTCCAAGCGACCCGAGTGCGATAAACCGACTGACTTCGCGCAAAATACTGAGCTGTACTTTTCGTCCGGGGAATTTTCGCGATAAGTGAACTCACACAAACTTTATTCAAATTACAACTGTGACTCGCAACCGCGGTTATTACTCGCGTAACGATCGTTAATCGATAGCAACTAAACGGTAATTATTGACGTAAAAATGTCTAAGCGCGATAAGTCGTAAAAAAATAATGATATCTGAATCAAAATAATAATAACAACAATACTTGCTTCATCGCGCGTAACAAGCTCACGACTTCGAGCCATACAGATTTTTTTTACAAATCTCACGAATCCTCCAAGGTATTATTTTCGCGGCGAATTTTCCCACCGTAACTCCTGCGATCATCGATTTCGGTTTCGTTCATCCTCACCTACTCAACAGCGGGCCCGATTCGCCCTTGAAGCTAATCCTGTTGAAGGCCCTTCTCTTGAACGTGCCGAGGATGTCGCGTCTCTTCCGACTTACAGTTTCGCCCGTTTCCTCCGCGGAATCATCGCCGCATAATTTCACGGCAACTGCAGCCGCCGGCATCGACGAGCGCACCAGTAACTCGCCCAACTGTGCATTCGCGGTGGCCGAGTGATCGCCCACCATGTCCTCGTGGGTTATCGCCCTGCCTCGTCCTGTCATCCTCATCCCCGTCTCGCTCCAATTTAATGACGATGATCATCAATATGTTCGGCCACCAGCCCCGAGTCGTCCGTTTAGACGATTGCGAAGGTTCTCTTCCTTTTTTTCCCCTTTTTCAACTCCTACGCTGCTCAAGCTGATTCGGCTGAGATCGCCGGACAGGACTTTTGCGAAGGAATGTTAATTCGATGAGAAGTGATTTATCGGAGGAGGTAAATCGATTCATTCGGAAGACGAAGCGCGTGTGCGCCCCGGGGGCGTCCTCCTCCTCTTCGCGATTTATTCGACTGGCGTGAGATTAATGGCGAGTTCGTTTGATCTCGCGCGATGAATTACAAACAGCTCTTTGCGCGGCGTCCACCACGCAGGGTGTTTTCGAGAATTACGTCCGCATCTTCGCGTGCACGCACGCACTGGACACCTGTTGCCGTGTGTTTACGCGCCCGGCCGGCAGCCGCCCGGTTTTCCCATTCTTCTCGTTTCTCCTTTCTCCGAGATTTCCGATTTATATTCATCCGACGGGAGGTGGGGTCCTCTTACGGGGCGATTCGATTAAATTGCGCGACTGGAGGTGTTATTTAAAAATCGATTTCCAACATGTCGAGTAAGAAATTTTACCGCGCACACGCTCCAATTAATTTAACAATGGTTCCGACGGGCAATTTAATAACGCTCGGTTGATATTAATTGTATTTAATTCTCCTCCTCGCTTCCTTTTATCCGTTCGGTTTCACATCCACACATGCAGTAAATATACGAGTGACTCGAGTGCTGTGCGAGCATGGATTAATGATATAGTATTAAATAATAACGAGATAGCATATGTTGTATCGATACACGTAAAAGACAGAACTATCGAGCGATATCACACAGGATTCGATCTAAGATTCAGTCAATCCGTTATTATCGAGCCTTCGTTCGCTTCACGTTCCTCTCGTCCTTTGTATCATCACGTACGACACTGGTTGAGTGAATTCCTCTTTCGTTTCGCAACGCGTGAACCGTCACCTTATCAATTCTCCTTTATCACCGTCGCGTTTCGCGGTCGCTTTCGTCACTCACTCGGTACTCGTCGACGTCGAGATAAAAAGAGTCAACGAGAAGGAAGGAACTCATCGGGGCGATGATCGCACTCGAGAGAGATCTCGATCGCCACTCGCGCGATCGGCACGAGGATCCACGGGCGAGGGTCGATCGATCCTCGGCGACGGCACGTACATTTCACGCGTTCTCGACCGCGATGCTCCGCCGAGATTGCGGCGACCACGAGTGTATCGCGGCGCGCGAGCGAGAAATAAATCGCAAGTCCCCGCGTGTGGGCGAAAGCATACGCGCGCACTAAGCCGCCGCGAAGGAAGGACGTGACGCGACGCGCGGATAAGATTGCCGCGCGGTTTTATCGACGGCCTCGCTCGCGATTTCGTCAGTGGATCGACGGGAATCCGCCTGCAGAATTGCAACAGCTGGCCGCTTTTCAGTGACTGACGACTAGAAATTCGGGGGGTTGCCCGATTGATAGACGAAAATTGGAAGCTGGTGGTAACGCGCGCGCGGAAACGACCGACGCGAACCTCTCGTTGTGGGAAGTAACGGATCGAAGACTCGTGATTGCGGTCGCTTCGATTTATAGACTAGATTAGAGCTGAACGAGTCAATGTGATCAGTTAATGCTTGCTTTTGCGGTTCAATATCGATTTCTTCCTCTGTATGTATTCGACATCTTTATAAACCACGCTCGATCTCTCTCTCTTGCGATATCGCAGCAGTATCTTTTCCTCCTCAGTTTCGTGTAACTGCTTGAATAAATCTCGAAGTTCCGTTACCGACACAGATCAATTGCTGAAAAGAAAAGTGGTCAAATCGGAAGATTAAATTTAAACTGAGGAATAGGAGAGAAAGGAACGGCGCAGAGAGAGAGAGAGAGAGAGAGAGAAGAATACTATTTCTGAGAGAATCTATTTCGTTCCCTCGTTTGGATGGCACTCAAAAAGCACGCAACGTCGGTGTGCAAAGGGCACACATACTATGCGAGAACATTATTTAACGCACTGTACATTATATTATACATATTTACATTTATATAGGTACGTAATATATATATATATATATTTACAAGATTCTATATATTTATACGTATACTACGTTTTTTTCCTATCTATATTCCAATTCGCCGTAAATAATTATTTTCGTTGCTCTTATTTGAATTTTGCAGCACCGATATCGTCATTTGTCACCGTCGTTATCTTGTACTGTTGCTGATGTTAATTTCAGTTTCTACTTTCGACGCGTGTATACGCCACGTTGAAAACATTAACGTAACTATTTCTTGACTACGTTCCTAAATTTCCCGACGATGGTATACGTATATAATCGATTTTATATTGGTGCACACTATTGTGAAATATTGTCGAGCGCTATTTTATCAACTTCCGACAACGCAGTTCCATCGTGAGAAACGCTCTCATATTAGGGTCCTGCACTCTCTCCAAGATAGCCGTCTGCAAGTTCACGTCCGACGTGCTGTCGATCGTGCTGCTCAGTCGCTCCGCGTATTGAATCCATACACAGTTCGCGCATCCTGACATACAGCAGTTCGTTGGTTCTGTGAGATCATCAACCGGAGTCTCTTTCACGTCGTTTCCTCCATCTTCCCGCTGATCGTCGTTCTTCTGTGCCGAGAAGCTTCGTTGATAACAGCGCAAACCCGGAACGACTAATCTCAACGATGATCGCAATGCGAATTTCATTTGTTTCAACGACTTTGCTGTTTCGGCGTTGGTTAGGTTGAAATTACGGCAGAATCTGAGATGCAGAATGCAACAAAAGCGTGTTTCAGTTGGTGTCGTGAATGATAGATGCTTGGTATTAAAGAAATTTACTCTCACCTTGATCGAGGTGTAAAGAAATTCGTCCGAGAAAAACCGAGTGCGCGTAATAGTGACATTTACAGTACACAATGTGCTTTTTCGTGTTAAATTGCGTATGAGATACGTCTTCCTATCTAGTAAATTGTTAAAAAACACTATATATAAAACTAAAAGCGTAGGAATTTACGTTTATCACTAAAATTTCTAGATGCAAGTCAGTCTTTAAGACCGATATTTATAGTCAGATCTTATATCAATGACCGTCTTGAGTTTGCTTCAGATACTTTGTAACCAATGAAATAAGCCGTACAGCATCTGAAGATGAATTTAAGACGGTCTTCAATATAAAATCCGATTGTAAATACCAACCCCAAATTACGAATTAGAATTGAGATTAGATTGAAATTTGACCAATCAAATTTAGTTGAGTTTTGTGAATTTTATTCTGATCGGTTAAATTTCAATCCAATCGCGATCCTGATCTGTAATCAGATATGGACTTGAAGCATAAGAGAATCGACCAATTTTAGGGATAGAAATGAAGGACTCTGATTGGTAGATACTCTTGTGTCTTATGCATTATGTCCATTGGTCTGTTCTTTTTAGCTGTAACAGTTCAGCAGCGCAGCTAAAAAGAATAGACCACATGCTCCGGTTCTTATTTTTGAATGGTACTATTCCATGATAGTTCAGAAAATCTTGTTTTCAAATTTTCTGTTCAAATTTCAACGAACTCCATCTTCAACATCAGTCAAAAAGCGAATCGCATAAAGTTTCCATTAATCTACCCTGTAACAAAGAAAATAAACATTAATTCATCATTTTGTCATTGCTTGTTATTAATTTGACAAATAAAAATACACATATATATAATAACGTGACAGAGGGAATCGTGTTTAAATTCAATGAGGTTAAAATAACCGTTATTTTAACCAGACGAATCGTCAAAATTATGTGTATAACGGAATATTATTGTTATTAATTTATTCGATCACTCAACATGTGGTGTCTCAAAGAACACGAAGGTATGTTATCTGCCAAATATCAAACTTAAATAGTGTAAAACACTATGACAGAGTCTAATCTCTTTTTCTTTCTCATTTTATTAATATACATAATATGATCTTATTACTTTATTCCAGGTCGTTGTATTTATATTCTGCTAGGACGTCAAATATCTTTTGGCAAATCTCTAAGTGACATCAAAATAGAAGGTGATACTACAATAAGCAGACTCCACGCGATTGTTTCTGTGGAATCTTGTGGAGAATCTGAAGTATATCTATTAATTTTTACTTTATTAATTTTAATTATGTACCATTTTACATACACTTCAAAAAATATTGAAATTTTCAGCTGCAACATAAATGTGTTATCTATGATAAATCCAAGTATGGAACATATATTTTGCGAGACGGAAAGGAGAAAAAATTGATTATGGATGAAAAGTTTGTTTTGAGAGCTGACGATAAAGTGAAGTTTGGACTAAGACACAATATCTTCACGTAAGCTTGAGATCATTTATTCTTTTAACATTTTAATACAAGTTATGCTGTTGTAGTGTGACATATCACCCGTTTGTGGTTGCAACGTCGAGTTTGAGCAAAGAGGAAACTGACAAACTAAAGAATATTATGAAGGCTCTTGGTGGTATCCTGTCTGACAACTGGAATAATTCCTGCACATGTCTGACTGTGCCTGAGAGGTTCTTGTTTACTATAAAAGTGAGATTTCACCAATAAAATAAATAAATAGGAACAACGATTAAGATTATGACTGATATTGTAATTAATACTATACAATATTTTATGATAACGTACGACTGAAACATATACCATATATAATGAATATTATATGATGTTACACAATTGATATTACACTTAATTATTAATGAATGAGATTTTTTCATTGATATATATTTATATGTACTTTATGCAGTTGGCTTGCGCGCTAGCCTCTGCAAAGACAATTGTCACCATCGCATATTGGGAGGCTGTAATGGAAGCCACTGAGGAAATGAAGGAATTACCGAAAATCGACGATTTCTTACCTACTGTGAAGGAAGATTGGCTGCACGCTGGTGCGGAATTATTCTTGCCTAAGGAGGAGCGCAGGATGCTGTTTCGCGGCCTATCCTTCGTGCATTTCTGCGCGAAACAATACGCTGCATACTTTCCGATAATTACTGCGGCAGGTGATTAATTTCTGTGGGGATTTTTGCGCGCAAAACAGAATTCAAGGAACTATTTTCATGAAGTTAAAATTTTTCGATGATCGTACTCTTATCATCTTTTGATATTTTCTCGATAGATGAAACTGAAATCGCTTTTCAGGCGGAAAATCGTGTGTATACCCAACGAGAAAACCCTTAACTCCTCGGGATCTGACTGCTAAGAATGCTATTGTCATACAACAGCCTGCCAATGATTCCTCGCAATTCACAATTCAGGTCATCACGGATTACCCGACCATCTGTGAGTAGTAGAAATGATTTTATATCAATTAATAACATAATCATGTATCATCGTATCGTTACGTCAATGTTGGAACTTTATGTCATAATATGCAATATTTCCATCTTGTAGATAACAAGCTGAGCAAGCTCAAACGCAGAATGATCTGTGATTCGGAAATCCCGCTTGCCATTTTGTACTGTTCCACTGAAAAGTATTGCAATCCCGAGTTCAACTTTGGTACACTTCTTAAATCAAGCACTCAGACATCCTTGCCCTCTGGTCTCGTGATCGTCGGAGACACGCAGGACACTCTGTCGACAAGCACTAAGAGAAAAATCGGAAGTAAAGAGCAGCAACGAATTATTCCCGAAACTATCGACTCGCAGTATGACAACGATATTGCGAAAAAAGCACGTCTCTCTCTTGAAAGTAGAGAAAAAGTTATTTCTGGGAACAACGAGAATGGGAGCGATGTTGTCTGTATTTTCTCCAGCAAAAACAACAAACAACCTCGAATTATCCCGGAAACCTGCGATTTCGACAAAAGTATCGCGAACGATAGTTTCCCACAGAGCAACGCCATAAACCCCCGAGTTATTCCCGAATCTTGCGACAGAAGTAGCATCGGCAGTTGGAGCGCAGAAAACGAGCAACGCGTGGAAAATGTTTTGCGAGAAGATGTCGAGTCTCGACAACGGAAGGAAATTGTATTGGAGAAACGTCAGTTGCTATTTCAGAAAGATTTGTTGCCTGAAAGCAATGATACGACATTTATGGAAAATAACTTGTCGCGTAAAAGAAAGAGCTTGCTTTTTGAAAAGAGTTGTTCTGCCGACAAAGATGATTCAGCTGGTCAAAAGGATGAGAACGAAAGCCGGAAGAACTCGAGAGGACTGCGTATCGTATCAATAGAGAAAATCGCTAGTGGTGAAAGAAATCTAATGGAAGAAGACGTGTTGAAAAAAGACCACTCCAGAATTGAAGAGTCTCTAGACTTTACGTTAAGACAGCAAGATAAACATGATGAAAAAATAGAAATAATCGACGTAGATAAGGGAAATGAGAGAGAGGAAGAGAAATCGCGAGAAATGGTGAGTGACCAATATCTTGAACTAATAATTATGTTTAATAATAATTATATATTTTATCTTGATTCAAATATACAAGGGAGCGGAAAAAGTGAAAATAGAAGAAAAAGACGAAACGAGTAGGAAGAGACCGCGAAAAATGGTGAGTAATTAATTGCTCAATAATTATAATAAAAATTATATCAATCGACGATCTACTGTTGTTACGATACGGAATTTGGCAGCTGTTACTTTCCGTTTTCAGGGAACAAATTGGTATGACAGATACTTAGGTTGCGAATACACAAACAAAGTTCTGCGCAAGGATGCACCGTGCGGTAAAAGATTTGTGAAGGTTCGTACGAGCAAAGCACGGCTTAATATGTTATTTTGCGCAACATCGGCAAATTTACTCTTTTTTTTACATTTAGGTACCAGTTCCAATCCCCGTAAGGAAACTGAAGTCGGACGACTTTGTCCTGTGATTGTCCTGTGCCAGAAAAGTAACTTATAGACGTTATTCCAATTATACATAAATAAATAATCGTTTCCTTTAGTGTCTTATATATTTTTCTACATTAGATAACAGACAGCGGTGATATTTCCGGAAAAAAGGATTTGTATCTTTACGTTGATTATTATTGAAAAAAAGAGAAGAATACATTTCCTCTATCTAAATAAAAAGAGATGATAAGAAAGTTATACTTCCAATAAAATTAGAAGAAATAATTAAAAAATAAATGTTCATAATTTATATAGTTGTATAGTTGAAACATATGCTTCTTGTACAATTTTATTCTTATAAAAAATATATCGAAAGAGAAAAAAAGAAATGAAGGCCCGTTAATGTGTTTGTTTCACTTATACCATCATTTTGTTTCATCGGGTATTTTACACAATATTTTTTTTTTAATTACGCACAAGAAAAACGTGCAAGAATGTACTTTATCAGCGCGGAAATCGTGATTACGCCGCAACCACACCGCGCGTATGAGGGATGCGGACAAAAATCGCGGAGTCGTAACCGAGGATGTATGCGTTTACTCCGCGCGCGAAGAGTTCTTCGGTTCATACGTCAACTCTCAACGTGCCTCCTCCTCGTCTCTCTCGCGAATCCTCTCGACTCTCTTCTTGCCGTCGTCTGCAGGACGACTCGAATGAACGATCTTAGAAGAAAGCTCACCGCTTCCTTCTCGTAGAATTGCGCGCTACCTCTATCGATTCTTTCATCTGTACATACGTAGATATTTTCGTCGAGAAAAAGATATGCGATCTCGTAGAAATCGACAACGATGACTCGGTGAAAAGGTTTCTGCGATATATTTATACGCGATATTTATTTGTCTGAAGAAAAAAAACCTTCGTTTTTTTCCACGCGGAAAATGGTATTACAAAACAATAATAGAGAGAACTCGCGCATGTCTCTTAATATTCTAATAATATCTTATTTTAATTTGCCGTTACGTATATATTTTAAAAATTTCTTTCGCAAAACTACTCGTCTCGCGTCTGGAGAAAGAAAAAAAATAAATAAAGGAAAAAGATCAAAACTGTCTATTGTCGTGCTGGAAGGCGAACTTTGTGCGCTTCCAGCGCAGCGCAGACAGGCGTCAGCAATTTTCCACCGTAAACAAATTTCTAGAATCGCGAGACGAGGAGAAGTAAGTCAACTCGACAAAATCGGTCGGCAATCTTTCGCACAACTCGGGAAAGTTCGCGATGCCCGGGCAGGGGACTTTCGCCACCGCTAATCGTGAACAAACGTCAAAGGACAACAACAGCCGGCAAGAATAACGAGAGAGAGAGAGAGAGAGAGAGAGAGAGAGGAGAGACAAGATATTTGTTACCTTCTCGTGTCGGCATAGCGACAAAATACCGCGAGGTATATACTCGTTGCTTTACGATTAAAGTCTCTCGCAATCGATAACAATGTGTATTGTTTGTGAGGGCCCGTACGGAAAAAATTATGAAATCCCCCAAAAATGTTACAAAAATACGAAAGAATAGCCGGCGTTCTATTGAAAAATAAATTCTTCTGGGGACAAGTACGGCGATTTTACTCGGTTGTACTCAATTATGTGTCACGTTTAAGATATTCAAATATAGCCAAAAATATAAAGGCTGCTTTTTAACTCGTGCATTATACTTTCATACTTAGCATCAATTGCACTCGAAATAAAGCAATTCTTGAAAAAATCACGCGGTTTTATTTTTGACGGAGCAACCGCAGACTGTCAAATAGACGGAATTGGATAGCGATCGCAAAGTTCATTCTTTATGATCGGATCACGCTTCGCGATTGTTGCATTATTCATTATGATTTTAGCCGTAACCACTGTTCAGTCGGAACTATTTTCGCTCCGACGACAAATTAACATCTGACGTTGCGACGAAGTACTGCTGCAGTAACAATGACGCGCTAAGTCGAGGCACCGTTATTGCAACTTTCAGATCTGCGTCGAGAAAAACAGCGGTCGCACTTGGAACAAGCCGATACGCACACGGCGTAGTCAAGAATTGTTGCTGTTTTCCGCGAAACTATTGCATTTTAATCGGGGAATAATCGAAATTTTCCGATCATTAGCGATCTTGCCCGGATACGTCAGAGATGTTTTCCGCGAAGATCCCTGAATGAATTCACGATTATACGATTCTTCTCTTCGCTTGACAATCGGAAACCTCATTTGGCTATAATTAAGCAAGAAAGATCCAACATATGAAAGTTTCGAGGAAAATGAAGATGAAAATTTGCATGATTCGAAAAGTGTAAATTGCATCGAGATTCTTCACAAGAAGTACAAGAAGTCAAGTATGGTCCACTTTCTATTCTTTAAGGGTATTCATTGACAATTAACTCTGTAAAAAATGGGTAAAACGCAACTAGTAAATAATGGTATAATTAGTAGAAAATAAAAATTTGTTTCTCAATTAATTTTAGGCTTGGATCTTTTTGTTTTACGTATAGACTACCCACTGGTAATGAAATCTCGAAAATCATAATTTTGTTTTTGGATTTTTCTTACTATGGCTATTTGAGAATCTACCGCTAGAAAATATAGATCGAACAGCTATGCGGAAGCTCTATGCTGATATCGATGACATTTCGTTACTTCGGCTCGTATTCGTTTACTCGAAACTCAAGTTAAATACCGAAATGTAAAGTCAGAATTAGATCGGAATTTTGCAGCTGAATCGCGACTGCAGATGTCACGTGCAGCGAAGAATTTAACTGAAAAACTTCGTTCTAACTATGAATTCAGATCTGAGAGAGAAAGAGAGATAAAGAGAGATTCTCACGTGGGGTACAAGTTTCAAGCAACGACAATTAATACGGGCCTTGCTTGTACTCACTTCGATTTGTCGCCGGGTGAATTTCAACAACACCCGCAACGGGATTTCACGATTCCGCGATTTTTCTTTATTTTTCTAACGAATGAAAGAATAACGGGAGAAAGAATGGGAGAGGAAGAGTGAGAAAGAGAGAAAGAGAGAGAGAGAGAGACAGAACGCGAGGTAGAAAGATGGGAGCCCGAGTGGAGGAGGGAGGAAGGTGGAGGATGGGAGATTCGGCTTCTCTTCTTTACTCAGCTGCATCACGTGCGATTCGCGCGCGCGCGAATTCCGGCGATTATGCAAATGCCATCGCATTAAAATGCATTCTATCGAAAATCTCCGATTTTATTCCGCGAGGAGCGATGTCGAAAGGCGCGCCTCCCTTTCGCGCGTCGTTTTCCTCCGCGCGTTCCTCCGCCTCGGTGTCCTCCGTCCGTGACCTCAACCGTCTAATTCGCCGTCTGTAATTTCATCGCCGACGTCGCTGACGCCGCACCGCAGCGGCAGACGTCGCGCGTGTAATTTGTACCGCGTATTTAACTTCGCACCGAGATCGCGAATTTGCCGCTGATACAATTTCGGAGCTGCGGTCTGGTTATTCAGAATGGTTCGTTCTCGCTTAACGTTAGACGTTTTTCTCGGCTAACACTCGGTTCTCACGACGATTCCGCGCGAAAGATTCCAAAATCGTGAAATTGCCATCAGCGATCTGTTATTATTATTATCATCATCATCATCAATTATATCGCGCAGGTTCTCGTAGCCGAGCGGCTGAGATGCCGTGGACTAATAAGCGAGATTCGCGATGGTGCACGAACCAGCGTCTTCTCGGTGGCATTAGCGGGATCTGTTCCCGACAGTAACAGGATCGCGGCGCCTTCCCTTTGAAGGAGCCGATCGGCTTGCGTGTGGGAGCGAGAGGCAGGACGGTAGGGGATGTATATCCTGTTAATTACACCACCGTCTCGGATTTGCCTGTGACGTCAGATGTCCCGAGCAGCGTTCTGTGTCTGTTTCCTGACAGATCTCTAGAGTTGCCTTTCCGTCGCGAATTATGGCCGATTAATAGTAATCGCCTGCCTGCCTGCCTGCCCGCCTTCCGATCCATAAATCGCAGACGAGATCGAGACAACAATGAACTAACGAGGGTGATCTCGTCTGGTGTCTCGGCACCTCTCTCTCTCTCTCTGGTATTTTCGCGCTCCGACTCGATGTCAAATCTTGCCGTCATAAATTCAAGGGAACTGTGCTATAAATACGAGAAAATAATAAATCGTGACTCGGTGAAATGAATCGAAATTCTCTCTAATCCATCCCCTCGCCCTTTTTTTCCTAAACGTGTGCGACAGTTATGCCGCCTTTGTCGGGCGAATCATTGATAGCTAAAAATATGTGTCCTAATTTCGCCGATTGACGATCCTCCCGCGAATGTGAAATGACGAGGGCTCATTACGGCGAAATAATTACGACGAATTCAGCTTTGTCGGCTTGTCTCGCGTATCTATCTCGCGTTTCTATAAAGCGCGACGGACGCGCGATCGATGAAAATCCGCGGGGGAAAAAAAGTCCGGCGGAATTCAATCGGCGCGTCGACATCGCGCGGACATTTGTTCGCGCGAGACAGATAGGCCTGCGAAATTTATTCGCGACCCGGAAACCACCGCGCGTCTGTCAGTCATGATCGAGAGAAAATCGGGGGAAAAATCCACCGCGCGGCAAAGAGATTCGCGATGTGCCGAAGCGGCGTGACGCGCGTCCACCGTGTGCCCGGCGAAAAATGATCCTCGACGTTAATGCGGCGACGACGGCCTGTTAATACGACATTAACGGGCGGGTCATTATGCGCGGAAATTTCACGAGAAATAAGATCTCGGCGGCGCGCGAGGTCGATCGGCGGAATGAAATTCGCGATTTTCGCGCGTATTCCGCCGCGCTTATCAAATATTTGCGCGTGACTTTTCGCACCGCCTAATGTATCCGGCGAGATCCGGAAGCAGCGGAAGAAGAAGAAGAAGGAGAAGAAGAGAAGGAGTGTCTGTTGTACTTGCGAATTTGCGGCCGCGTAACTTTATTCGCGGCGAGTGCCCTCCCTCAGCGACGAGGGCTTAAACTTTCCCGCGAGGAGAACGGAGCAGGAGGAAGAGGAGGAGAGAAGCAGAGGGAAAACTTCCCTTGTGGAGAAAACGTTAACGACGGATTTCCCGAGAGGATCAATAAAAGAGGGTGATTTCCTACCCCTCGCTCCCCCCCCCCCCTTTANGATATTTCACGCTGCGTTTGCGTATTTAACGACCGGTTAACATTCTTCGCTTCCACCGAATCTCCGTTTTATATTCCTTGCAAAAAAGGAAAAGGGTGAGAGGGGGGGAGAGAAAGAGAGAGAGAGAGAGAAGAGCGTTACACCCTATAATTGCGACGGTAAATATAAAGTCGTTCGGTTTCTTCTCGATTTCGAGAAATATCGCGGAAAATTACGAAGGAAACGAAGGAAGCTCCTCTGAGTTTCCTTTATATAAATGGATGCCGTGCGATATCGATCTCGACTGACGAGAGAATCGACTAACTTTTTCCAGTTTGAAAACGAGCGGAAACGAAGGATTTATCCTCGGGCTGTCGTTGCGAAAAATTGGCAACGGGAGACGAATCTCTTGATAATGAGGTTGTTGAATATAAGTATTAGGTACGAACGTTAGTGTTATAATTGCACAAGTAACTTAAATGTATAATGTGTATGTGTATGTGTGTGTACTCAATACATAAATCTCCAAATATACATATGTTAAAATTGTGGACGAGATTAATCGACGATTTGGGAAAGAAAAAGAGACTGGATAGGAATGTTGGCTGAATAATCAACTCAAAACTGTGCTCAGATTGCAGTTCATCTTATTTTCCTTTCCGGTACATCCCTTCGGATGCGTTTACCTCTTTCGATGCATGGAAATGCACTCGAGGAACGTAAAACATGCGTAGTAAAAGCATTCTTTTACAAAAGCTCCCTTGCGCTCGTCTTCACACGCAAGCAAGTCTTACATACACACGCGCATTCACACGCACAATTTTTGCTTAAATCCATCAGTTTGCGCGCTCGCAAAAACTTGCGTTTTTTTATAGATATTTACAGAAATTTATCATGTTTTATTCTTAACCCTTTAAAAGCCATGTAAGAACTTTCATTTTGAAACAATTATTCTTACATTTTTTTTCTAAGTTTCGCATACCAAGTCAATAATTTCTGTATTTATACTAGAATTATTTGAAACAATTAATAATTCATTTAACTTTGAAAGTTAAATAAAAAAATTTCGACGAACGTTATATATATATAACACAAAGTTGTGTGTGTAATGTACTAATAAATATAATATTTAATTTACTAACACTTTGCAAGAGGTATGTTATTTATATTATCAAAGTAATTTTTTACTTTAATAAATATAATAACGAAAAAAACCTTGAAAAGAGTTTCAAGAGGTAGATTATTTTTATTACTAAAATTATCTTTTTATAATTAATGCAACAAATGATAAAATTTTGAAAATTTTCAAAGTAGATTATCTTTACCGTTAAAATAACTATATCCCAACAAATGTTATAACGATAAAATTTCTATTCCCGTCAAAGATTGGCCGTTAATGGGTTAATGAAATCGTTATTTATTTATTTACATTAACATTTATTGTATCCGCTGACAACTTGTGGTTTTTTGATTATCACCAAGTCGCAATAAATATACATTTATATCATGTAATATATCTATAAGTGACTAAATTGTTTATACTTATAGGTTCATTTATACATATAGTATGTACAGCAGCCTCTTTGTACATTGAAAGTTTATTTATCAAAAGTGAGAATGACAATCGACAATGTCTTTTGAACATCTTTTCGTTTCGTAAGCTACACTTGGAAAATGATCATTGATTACAAGATTATTAGTCAAATTATTTTAAATTGTATCAGATTGCTTCATTACTCATAAACATATCAATAATAATAATTCAATGTAAGTTATTGGAAATTATTACAAATTAATTGCACATTAATGATGATCCGGCATATCATTCTTAATTATGCATTAAAGATCAGATCGCATTTTAATATCAATATCGAGCTGCAATAAAACAATAACTGTAATCCCTTTTGTAAAAAAAAAGAGACGCATAAGGAATATTAGTTTAAACTATTATAAATTTTCTCGTCGTTTTTTGGTAGTTCGCTGAGCAATATTTCGTTTCAACTTAACGTCTACGTCTTAAATTACCGATTCGATCACATGTGGCAGCAAATACGATAACCGGCAAATTAATTAATTAATTCCAGACCATCTAAGGGAGTGTACGGTAATAGTCTTTCTCCCTCCTCGGGACGTCTCAAACGCGATTTTAGCATCAACTTACGTACTTAAGTGGAAGAAATTTCTGCCTGATTTAATCGAAATCGCAACAATGTAATTTTTACGCTGATTCACCATCACAAACGAAGGAATGCGAATTTTAGCTGGATTAATTATAATCACAATTTACACGCAATCGACTCGCAGTCGAGCGTAGAAGAAGCAAGTTCAATTCTCCTCTCGTTCAATTAACCGTGATTTTTCGGCATCGGGAGAGGAAAGAAATTAATTCTCACCGGAACACTCGTTCGGAACGTCTTTCCGCTTCCTCCTTGGGACTTCCCGACGCAGCACCGCCTCTTATATTGTCCCAAGCCGAGTCTAGGTCTTTTGAAACTACCGATTCCTAGATCGCGGCCGAAGGCTATAACTTCGAGTCCGTTTTGTCGTTGCTCTGCACGACCTGCGCGGAATTCTCGCGGGCGATACAGTCGCGAACGGCCTGCAGAATGATGCCTATCCGGCGATCGAGCGCGTCCAGGTGGGGTTCCCAGAGGACTGGAGCCACGGGGTCCTTCGCCATACTTTGTCGCATAGCCGCGCTCAGCCGCGTAGGCCCGTTGTGGAAACTGCAACCAGGTATCGTCCAGGTAAATAGAGCGCGCGCGCGCGCTCGAGTGTATCGCGAAAGCGTGTCTTTTTCGAGATTTATTGTTTGTTCACCATTTTACAAGTGTGAAATATACCGCCGCGTGAACATAATCTCCTTCGCTTCGGGATCGATCGCCGCTCGATCTCGAGGATCTCTCGCGTTTTCTCTTTAATTTCGCCGAGTCCTGCGAAGGACTCCCCGATGGCCGGGAAGTCGAGTGAGGCAGAAGCAAAGCACTTCGAGAAAGCCCACTTTTATCCACGTGACGCGTCGGAATGTGTGTGTGTGTGTGTGTGTGTCATCATATAAATAGAGCCGAGTGTCTGCTCGAGCCAATACTTTATTCATTGGCCCCGGCGACTCGAGGAGGCCTCCATTATCGTTCTGAAAGCTTCCAACCGCTCTCGCTTGTTGATCTAAAAACCCGTTTCCCTGCCTCCTCCTCTACTTTCCATCCTACGTAACTCTGAAAAGCGTCTCGATGCTGTTATCAATCCCAAAAGCTCCGACCCCGATATTGTTTCTTCGAGAAACGTTCGATTACCGTCGGGCAAACTGTTTTCCTCTTCTGCCTTGCTCTCTTCTTTTTTTTTTCATTATATTATTGTTACCAACGAACGGTGAAGTAATTCAAGAACGGTCTATTATTGGTCCTGCAAGCTTCGCTCGATCTAAAGACGTCGCTCTGAAAAATGCGTCGTCGTACTATCAAGCGCCGCTATCAATTCCGAAAACGTCGACCTCGATATTGTTTCCTGGAGAAATCTTTGATCACAGCCGCGAAGTCGTTTATTCACTGCGATATCAGCGATATGACAATAAAAAAAATGATAACGTTGGAAAACTGTTTCTCTATCGTGGGTCTTATCGGTTTGCGAATTCTGCGAATCAATTAGAATTTACTTTCTTTTTTTAATCTTCTTTTTAAGCGGCTGTGCGCCACTTGTCAAGTCTTAATCTTTTGTTTCTTTTTTCTTTCGGTGATAATTTAATGAAACGTTATATCCTGAGACGTTTGAGACATTCATTGAATTTTTAACATCTTTATTCCTAAAAAGTTAACGCATTCAAATTTAAATCTCTCCGAAGTAAAATCCGCAATGTCGGGTTCTTGACATTTTATAAAGAATAAGACCTCCCAACCAATTTGCATCTGTGAAACTGATGCGGATATAGCTATTTAGAAAAAGAAGGTACAGAAAATCCTGCAAAAGGAACGACAAGAAGAGCGTTTGGAGAAAATTGCGTTTGAACCAATTTCGCTTCATTGTTATCTTAATCACGTGGCCAATCGGACGATCTGCTGCCATGCAAAGCATGGGCGAGAAAATGGACTAACAGACGAAGAAGAAGAAGAATAGAAGAAGTCGTGATCAGCGAAACGGCAGGAAGCAATTATCTCGCGTAACAGCGCGCTTAATGGACGACGTGTGGGCTCTTTCGAGTCAGCTGTGTACGTGTATGTGTGTATGTGTGTGTGTGCGCGCACATATGCGTGTGTGAAAATGTTCAAAGAAACAAAGATCCTCCGGCGTTACAATTTCGACGTGTACCACACAGCATATTCATAATCGCCATCCCGTGTCCCGAAGGGTCAAGGGAAATCGAGCGAAACGGGAGCGATTGTTTCGACTCGGTGGAGGGGGGNGGGGGGGGGGGGGGGAATAGCGCGATGGACGGCGCGGTGTCCGTCGATCGACGATGAAATTTGCAATTCGGAGCAGGGTCGCAAATTCTTCGATCTCTCGAAAAAGGGAGGAGGCGGCGGGTGCGAGTAGAAACTTTACGATAAGGCGGATATATACCGAATCCGAAGCGTTTTATCAGAATTGCCGGCCGCTCGTGAATCTCCCGCTTTGATGCGGATTCGCGGGGACGTTTTTACGGGCCGCGATAAATTCGATGTCCGGCCGATCGGCCGGCTTTAGCGAACACCCTGTATACACATACCCATAGCGCGATCTGGAACGGGATCGCGAAATCGTTCTTCGATCGAATTCTCGCCCGAAGATTTTGAGAAAGTTTCTCCCTCGGTGCGAGTTCTCGTCTAGGCAGGATTGATCTTCCGAATTGAAAAGTTCGCGCAAACCAACTACTATTGGACAACGATATCGTTTGCCGTAACGTTGCTATCTGTCGGCCAGTTAATCAGCCAAATTGTCACACCGTAATGTAATTCATTATTATATTCATTATTGCGACATAATAACGCTGTAAATAACACCATTGTGTGCTTACCGTAGTAAAATGGCGAGCGTGCTCTGCCTGATGATGCAGCATTGCAGAAGCGGCGCCAGGATGGACGTTTCGTCGTGGAACGGCTTGCCGAAGCCGCGCCCGTGGTCCAGGTGCAGCGTGAAACTGTCGTTGCCGAAAAGCCGGAACGTCTCGTAATGATGGCGGTCCATGTTGCCCGTGAGGAAGTCAAATACCGCCATGTCCATGAGGTCGAGCAGCCGCCGACCTTCGTCGTATGGCGAGATTTCTCTCACGAGCGAACAGTAGTCGGAATCTGCAACATTTCGCGTTGATTTCGCCCTCTCTCGTTGGCGGAGAAGCCGAGTTGTTTTTTTTTCGCACAATCGAACGGATAATTATACACAATAACTTGACACGCAAATCCGAGATGTGAAACACGAAAATAATAAAAGGATAATCGTATATTTTGGGTCGGTGCAAAATTTCGTCCCGTTTTTTAATCAGAGTTCCATCAGTCAGAAATCCAAGAATTTCTATGAGCGCGGGATCATGCAATTACCGAAGAGATGGCAGGTCATCGAACAAAACGACGATAGTTAATTGATTGATTGTATTTTAAAATAAATAAATGTTATTTATATACATAAATGTTTTTATTTAAAGGCAGGATGAATTTTTTACCAACCCAATACAATTATTTCCGTTTAATTATATTTCACAAAATATCATATATATATATACTCTCACCGTGTTCCCATTGAGCTTTCTTCCGCTTGTGATAGCTTCGGCGCCAAGGATGCCGCCAGGCTTTCCGGGTGGCGAGGATCTTGTCAGGCAGGAAAGCGGCGAAGCTGCCTTCGAGACTGTCGGGCGTGCCGCACACGGCATGCGCCGTGTCGCAGTAATAGCTGCACTTGCCGTGGAAGCACAGGTTGCCAGCGGGACTGACAAAGAACGTTTTCAGCAGCTCGCCATCGGCGATCTGATAGATCTCCGTGGTGACGTTGAGCGTCCGGCCGCTCACCGGCATCGCCCTGCGAAAGCCCAGCAGCCTGTGGACCGAGAAACCCCGGGGATTTAACACCTCTTAAGAGAGAGTTTGCTCTCCAAAGCGAACTAAGTCTCTCTTCCGTATCGAATGCAAGCCTCACCTGTCCAGGTGGAAGGACGCGATCTCGGCGGTGTGCCTCTCGAAGTCCGTAAAGTAGAAGTGATTCGGCAGAGTCTGCTGCTCCCGCGGAAATCTGTAAGATCGACGACGACGAGGACGATGACTCGGTTACGATCGCGGCAAGGGTGAAGAACGTTACGCGGGAAGGGCAGTTTTATGCGAAGAGTCAATGCGCGGGAATTCACGGTTTTGCAAGGTTCCTTGAATCGTAATTATGCTCCTGCCGGAGGACGAGTGAGAAGGGAGCTCCGATGGTCTCGGAACACCCTGTGTAACGGTGGGAGCGTGTCCGAAAAGAGCTTGCGTGCGTAATATTGCGGGAATTATCCAAGATTGCTATATTGCAGGAGATTAGGGCGAATTTTGCGGCATCATTCGATCGCTCGATATGTATACATCGCGTGACTTCGCGATCGCCCGCATACGTAACGCCAAATTGTTTATCCTTCTCTCTGCCGACATTTTTATATAGGATTCCGCGGTTTTTCCAATTGTTCCGCATGAAACGAAATGGATGATTTTTTTTACAGGAATAACGTACCGATCTCGAGGAAGATGATAATTGAACCATTCGATTTCCGGCGGGACAGATCCTCCTCTTTCGTTCTCTCGATCGCAGCCAGCTTGCGAGATTCATGCGCTCCGTTCGTGCTTATTGTCCTGTCTCGTGTGTATACATATATATATACACACATATATATATACCGCACGCGACTCGTAAAACCCGCACGAAGATCACCGGGTAAATATTTGATCGCGCGCTGTGGAGTTTGCGGAACTCCCGAAGCTTTCTCTTTCTCTCTCTCTCTCTCTCTGTTCCTCCCTTCGTCCTTCGTTACTCTTCCTCAGGAGAGGTCCTCGAGAGAGAAGCTCGGGACCAATAAAAGCTCCCGAGCTTTCGCATTGTCCCTTTGCCACCGCTCGCGCTCTCCTGCGACGAATAAATTCGTTTCTCTTTTTTGCGTTTGTTTTTTTTTCCTTTCCTTTTTCTTTGCTTCACTTCCGGCTGCTCCGGGGGATCGATCGAGAATATTATTCGACGACGTGACGTCATTATATAAAATCTCATCGGGTAAAAAAACAATTAATTTCATCTCCATTACAATTTAATTTCGTTATGCTGTAACTGTGAGTATTACAGCGGCAAACATGCGATAATTATCGAACGATTTTGATAACAAGCGTGGATTCGTAACGATTGTTATATTAATGTGCATTGTTTATAATTACATTTAACTCGTCCACTAAATAAATAAATAATTAAGCTGTGCAGAATTGTATTTGGAAATTATTAGTAGAAACGGGGCGAATAATTGCGAAGCTCGTTAAATCGTAGCGGCTGATACGTACCGTTTGAAGTTTTGAGGTCGAACTCGCCTCGCGCCGCGAAGTCAATACTTATTTTGTACCTGTCATGCTACACGACGTTGCCGACGATAGATCGCGCCGGGGAAAAAAGCAAACAGCGAGAGAAACCGCGACGGAGAGCCGTGAAATTTAAGCGCATCAGGGACAGCACGCACGGAGTCTCACGATGATACAATATCAAGGGATTTTCTTATTATCCGCGGAGGGCGCAATATCCTGAGAAGAGACCGCGGGAAAATCGGGAAAATTGTCGGACGAGCCTGTCGTACCGCATATTGCGACTCTCTCTCTCTCTCTCTCTCTCTCTCTCGTTCCCCGATGGTCCACGAGTGGCTGGGCCCTTTAAACTTCCGGTGGGCCGAAGACTCCGCGATAAGTGGGCGCCGGCTTAAACTCCGGTAATAAGTTCGCCAATAAGTTTGCCGGCAAGTTTGCGAGAGAGAATTTCGGGCGAGATTGCGAGCCAGCCGCAATAAGCTCTCGTTATATTCGCTCGGACGACTCGCTCTCGCACCTCTTCTTTGCGCGCGAAGGAGAAAAAAAAACATATGTATATTCGAGGAGAGAGGGGGAGACAGGGGAGTGTAAAAGGATCTTTCGAGGCTCGCGAATTCGTGGTCACGACGGCACTTTGGTCGCTCGCCACGTCACTCGACGGTAAAATTGTCGCGTTTTACGAGCGTAAAGCGGCTCGAATGGATCGCGCAAACACGACGAGGTCTAACGAACCCCCCTTGATGAAAAGTGTCCATCGCGCACATCGCGATAAGGTGTTTGGAAAAAAGGCACGCGCGAAACAATAGTCCGGTGTGTGACGTATCATTCGCGAGGAGAGCGATGTACGAGAGTGAGAGGAAAAAGAAGAAGGGGCGGTGGACGATGATGAAGGGGGCCGCCGGTTGCTCTCACGGCACGAGGCGACGCTCGGGACACCACTTATGTAATTGCGCTCGTAATCCGATCCGCGTAACTTCGTCGAGTGGGAAAAAGCGGCGGAGCGAGACGAGACAAGAGAAAGAGAGAGAAAGAAAGAGAAAGGGAGCGATCGAACGAATGAGCGAATGACTGAGTTAGAAATTTATTCTGCCCTCGCGAGTGTGACCATTCGAGAGACGTGCGAACAAAAAAGATGCTATCATAGTCGTACTGATGTGTAAGCTTCATTTTCTTTTAACACGGATCGAAAATAATTGGGACTTGAAATGATACAGTGTTCGTGAGGTTTGCTCATTTTTCATGTCGCGACTCGTCTCTCACTCCTGCATGTAATGTCTAAACATGTGGGCCCTTCCATTCTAGGAATACGTTACGTGCGATTTCCCGGCGTGCGAATTCAATGTGGCCGACGTTTCAGCATTAATTTGAACGCTATCGGGACGTCGCGACGCTCGACGTCACCGGCAACAAACTGCCCAAGTAATTTCGCGAGCGCTGCCTGCCTGCCTGCCTGTGACTTCGAGATACGCCGAGAACTTTGCGACACTAGAAGCCCCGTTCGCGAGTCCGAGCCGACCTCTTCCTCGTAATTTCTACGCGATCGCCTCTAATTAGCGCCATAATCTCCCGCTAGCGTTCCGTCGCACCGTTAATTGATATTGTCCGATTCGAATATTCTCCCCTTCCCGCGACGAATCGACGACTGTTAATTCCTTTCGTATTTATCTCCTCAGCGGATGGCCCAGAAAGGATATTAATGGATGAAAAGAATTAAATATGCACGTTTATATCGAGTGTGCCGATTGCACACTTACCGCATCGGCTTAAATAGCGCCTGCATGTTGTCGCCGTAATCAATTATCAGCTTCAACTGCGTGCCACCGTCCTTCTGAACTGCAACAAACAAACCAGCGAATATTTAAGCAACATTGTAACATTAAAAAAATATATAATAAATATAAAACTACTACAGAGATGGCAAAACCCATTTTTTCAATATGAATAGAAAATATATCTTATAGAGAATAATCTAACTTTATAAATTTCTCTCTTTCTCCCTTTCTCTCTCTCTTTCGTTAAGGCAGATCCACTAAATAGTGAAAAAAAAAATGACGTGTAAAATTAAATGTAATACGATAAAGAAAAGATAGGCGTATATTATATAAAATAATGACTCTAATTAGTAATGTGTCTAACTTAGTAATTTGACTCTAATGAGTAATAATTGTTTACTAATAACTTTAATTTACTGATAGAGAGAAACAATAAATAAAAAATATAAAAATTCAAGTCAATAATGATAACGAGCGATAATTTATAATTTTATAAATGGAATAATACTACCGGATAGCTTAATTACTGACAGATTAGGACTCTGCGTGTGCGATACGAGGTAATTAGGACGCTTCTAATAAAGCGCCATTAAGCCACTACGTTCCACTTGGGCCACGTCGCGCAACAAGCAAGCTTTAAGTAGCTCGAGTCAATAATTCGCTCGACCATGCCGATAAAACGCGTCTGTCCGCCCGTCCGTCTAGCGGTTGAATTAGCAGACATATATAATTCACCGCATAGTCGTCATCGCGACTGATATATTCAGACATATATTAAAATGATGCGAGGACGTCGACAAGACTGGCGCCTCTCATGTTTTGCGCTTAGACATACAATGGATATCTATTTCTCCAGATAATTTGCAAATAAATGTCTATTACCGCCAATATTGTACCACATAATGTGTGTGTGTATTGTTATTATTTAAATATATATTAAAATTAATATATTTATTTAAAAAGTTGAGTTTAAAGTTCCTTTCTCTTGGAAATCTTTTACTCTTTACCTTGTAATTTTAGATTTTTCAACGGATGGCACAGGTTGAAAAGCGCTCGACAAAAAGTTACAGCAAAAGGTGGAACATAATCTCGCTTAAATTACTATTTTCAAGTGGCTTTCGCTGTTCTCGCTGGCGCAAACCTGACACTTCGATCCTGCCAATTTAATCGAATGATAATACTCATGATCCTACTGACGGTGCGTTAACTCAATTGCCAACACCATAGGTAATTATTGGACTAATTATAATAAGGAGACTAGATCCGCTGATCTCCATTATTCACGATCGACGTGAATTGGGGCAGAGTCTTAAATATTTCGGTCGTTCCGAGACTCCCAGTCTTATTATTAGTTAGGTATCCTTAATTTCTTAATGCGTCACCATCATTGTCATTATCCTCATCGCTAATTATCGTCTTTCTCTCTCATAACTTAGTAAACGATCAGCGAGTAACGTTACGCTTAAAAGGGCCCGAGAAGTATGAATTAAATCAAGCGGCTTATTATAAATAATCACGTATAATCTCTCGCGTAACCATTATTTAAAGTGAATAAATTAACGATATTGTTGAGAGCGTTATAATTGGACACATTGTGGAACGCCCGCGTCTAGAAATTGCTCGACGGAATGAATAAAATCGGTGGGTCTGTCCGAGCGATTAAAGGAACTCTCGAAAGCGAAATTTATTTCGGATCTATATTTTTAACTTTTATCTATTTAAGCCCCTTAAACACACTTCAATTGAAACTCGCATTTAAGCTTCACGCGCAAGTCTCGCTACTCACCGACGTGCAAGATCGGCTTGGTCGCCATCTCGTACAGCAACTGGTCCACGTACTTCGAGTCCTCGGGGTATAACTCTAACCTGGAGATCTGTAGATGAAATTTCTTCAAGGTCGTGCTGTTTTTCCTGCAATGAACGAAAATATTCGCTCAAAAATAAGTTGCGCACGAGTTGTTGGAAAATACGAAACTGCAATGCAAGCTCCTTGATTAAGCGGGTTAAATAACAAGATGATAAATTTAAGACACGGAGAGAAAACTAAAATTATCGAAGACGTTATGTTTTCCACGTTCAAGTCCCTCGATACATACCTCCGTTAAGAGAAACATTGATACCTACCTTCTTACCTACGTTAAGAGAAACATTGATTCCGCGAAAAGTGCTCTCACTAAGTTACATATCCCATGTACGCGATGACGTTATACAATGATATTACGTAAAAAAAAATTACGAGCGCGAAAGAGACGTAAACATCGAAATTTTATTCGCGATGTTCGATCGTTTCTCGTCGGGACGAGCGACATTCCGCGGGTTATAATCGTCAAAACTTTATGGCGCCGCGCGTGATATCGAGCCCTTAAGGGTGGTACAGGAAGGAAAAGAGAGAGAGAGAAAGGGAGAAAGAGGGGAATTGGAAAGGGCTGTGACGATCGTGAAAACATAATTCGTACGAGCTTTTAAAATGCATGAAACGGCGTCCGCGAGCCACGGCGGCCTTCGACCCTCGTTTTATGCGCCGAGGGCGAAAGAGCCTTTATCCGTTAGGTTGCTCTTCTTTTTCTCCAGGGGAAGCTATCTCCATGGACGCACGCACGCACGTGCGTGCGTAACGCGCACTTTTCTTTCGAGACACTTCTACATTTTTCAAATTCTTCCGTACACGTTGGAATAATAAATAGCGTATCATCAAAGCGCGCAAATGGAGACAACAATCCGCTATTGAACTCTTTCGAACACGTCCGTCGTGAATACTTTGCATAAAGAATTAATTTAGCGTCGCTAAATGGCGACATTATTATTATTAACCCAAAACTCCCATGTATACGTTTGTATCATATAATAATAACAGTAATAATTATGCGACTGCACGATAACGATTAAACGATAATAATTATTAACAAGCGTATGATAACGTATTAATAGTCTTGATCTTTTCCGTCGATTATAATTATTTTTCCATACACCCGAGATTGTCGATCGCTTCGCGATGTTTAATTGAAAAAATTCGCGTCATTTTAACGACGGGACGAAATTCCTCGGCGTAATTTTTTGCGTGTGAGAAACTTTCAGCGGCGGGGAAGCAATCGCGAAACTTAAATCGAGTAATTTACTGCCGTGCGCAGAGGCCGATTGCAGAGATTCTTTTATTAAAATTCATCTCATGGCCTTTTCGCCGCCTCCCGTCGCGACCCTCCTTCATACCCCCCCTTCCGACTGTCAACCTAAAATCCGAGTACTTGTCGATATATCCAGTTACGACGTGTTTCCAATAAAAATCCGCCCACTTTCGCTAAATAAATCATTATCACGGCGTCGCCGAAACTCCCGGCCACGTCTGAATTTTTCGCCGCATCTAACGGGCGCTGCGGAAGCGCAGGTACAGGGGCACAGACAGGGGTTCTATAATTAAAGAGAGAGAGATAGAGAAACGAGAATACGATTAGGATAGTTAACATTTAAAGTTGCAATTGTAATTCGAGACGGCGTTTAAGTCTGAATGACGGCCCAAGGATAACTCGGGGAGATTTATATCATGCCACCGGATGGTTAGTATGCCGTGAGGACTCCACTATAACGCTCCTTCGTCTTTCTCGAAGGAGAGCCGACGCGACACTTCCGGGCAAACATTTTTCATCGTCGCGAATTATTCATCGGACCACACATCTTGTATAAATTATATACATATGTATATATACACTCACACACAATATATACAGATATATTACATTTATGTATTGTATTATCTCATATGTATAATTAATTGCAACTTCATAACCTACTATTAATTTGTATAATTTATTATATGGTTGATTTTATCGGTCCGACGGTAATTTAATTAAGTTAGTTTAATTTTATAATGGTGTGTACAGAAGGTACACACACGCGTGAAAAAGTTCACGCGAGAAATTTTCGTCGATTTCAGTTTTAAATCCGAATCGTGCCGTCTCGATCAGAAGTCAAATATTTGACGATATACCTGATGGAATATTTGACAAGTTCGCTTCCAGTTCTTGGAATATTTATTTAACGAAAGTCCCATCCCCGGAACGCGATATCGCGGATACGGGGCGCAAACAAACGCAATTATATTTCACGTGATACAATTGAATTACATTTAATTATTCTCAAGTCGCTTTCTAAGTCCACATTTTTAAAGAACGATTTGGATTCATCCCGGGGGCTGACTCGTTAACGCGATCGTAAAAGCCGCTAATCAACATCATCATCGTCGTCATCCATGCTCTGATCAACGGATTATCAAGTTTGAACATACGACGGGCTGATTAGGATTTTCGTGATTAGGCTACTCTCTCTCTCTCCCTCTTTGTCGACGTCGTCGCGACGTCGTCTTGTCTCGAAGTGCGCAAACCGAATCTTGTGCCGTAGATTGAGTTCGGGAACACACGTGCGAGCGAAACTAATCCGCGACTTCTCTTTGCCCCCCTTTTCACCCCTCCCTCGTTCTGCTATTCCTTTCTCAGCGACGACGTCGAGAACTCCGTGGAGACTTAGATCTTAAGCCTGCTGCTTCTCATGTATAACGCGTAGCTATCCCGAAATTAGCCGACGAACGAACCATCTCGACGGACGGATTATTCCCGTACGTATTATTGGATTCGCGCGCGGCTACTTGGTTTCCGACAGTTTCCGATTTCCCGAAATTTTAGATCATTCCGAGAGACAGAGAGAGGAGACCATCTAGTCTTCTCCCGCGACAATTTGGCACACATATAATGAAACTAATAATGTAATATTGATTTTAGCAATGAAAAATGTCAAACTAATATTATAAATTAGTCGGCAACAAATATAAACCTTATTGACTTGTTCACGCGATCCCATCCGTTCCATAACAAGAGTCGATAACTACATCTCGTTAAACTCGCGAATGATTCTCTAATTATGCACTACTTGCAATCAATTCTAACTCGAAGGTCGTCAACGTCGATCGATTCGCAATAACGAGCACGATTGACATAACGCACTGTGTACAATCTCGCTCTGGTTTCTTGCGCCACAGGCAGTAGTGCATCGCGCAATACGGCCGGCGATCGCTAATGCAATTTCACGGTGCATACACGGTGCAATAACGAAGGCTTAGGTCACCCTTTCATGCGTTCGCGCCGACTGATTGCGTCTTGTCCACGCGCGATTCGCATTTAATTCGGTTTGCCGCTTATATTTTTGCGTATCCCTGACCCCCCCCCCCCCNCCCCCCCCCCATCTCGCTTCCCTCATCTGCCCGATTGCATTTCCGCCTCTGATTGCGTTTCCGTTCCTTCTGAATGCGCGGCAGAAGCGTGAAAGGGCGAGACCGTGGTCCTTACGCGTGGAGATTACAAATTGCTACGGCCTCGACGACGCCCCCCGAATGACAGGGGGATCGTTACGAGTTAATTATTACAGTAATTATCACCGCTTCAACGATACTCGGAGCGAAGGATACGCCGGCTTTTCCGGAAGAACGGACACGATTTCGCATCTCTATATAATTTTCGGAAAATAACGCGGTCAACGTCGGGAGATTCTCAAGTGACGCGGCGGCGCTGACCGACCGTCCGGCGCGGACGATGCATAATGCATACGATGCAGCTTCTCACGCGATCTCGCGCGGAGGAAATATCACGGCGACGTGGAGAATATCAATCCCGCCGCGGATATCAATGGCGAATCGGAAGCGGAGATGTCGCTTCCTCGCGCCGATTCGATTCCTCCGTGGTATAACGGGCGTACCGACGGGGTTCCCGAGATGTCTCTCGATTGCACGTAGCAGCAGAGGAAGATGGTTTGTCCTTAAATTGCAAACAAATCGTTACGTCGTCGCATTACGATGACGAGCCGTCTTTTCAAGCATCCGAGTCGAACGAGTCGTGCATGCACTGTTGCGACCAAGAGCTGGATCGCGGCAGGATCCAGCAACGGAAGGAGCACACTTCAGTCAACCTCGATTAACGTCGACCAACTTCGCCGAGGAGTTTTCTAATTGCTCACGCAATTAAATGGCTCACGGCGATTATCAACGGCTCATATCGCGCTGTAATGGTTTATCACGCCCCGTTGACAAATCGGGACATCCTCGAGCGATGCATCACGTCACCGATAAGTGCAACAGTAACAATACGCAGTGCGAAAAATTTCACGTCAAAAGTACGAACGTACGAGAAGAAAAAATTAACAGGCGAGCTTCCGCCCGACGGAAGATTATTCTAAAATTAGCTGTGACCGAGATTAAATCGGTGTAAAAAAAAAGCCACTAATTGTCACGCAATTAAGCAGATTGAAAGTAAGGCAATTGCCATGTAATCACGGCAATATAATTTAACATTTGTAGAATCTCGCTGTCGGCGAGTCGAAATAGCGCGAGGGAGCGCGCGAATGCGCATTCTCTCCCTTCGTCCGTTGATTTCCACGCGGATACAGATGCAGGTGCACGACGCATTGTCCACGGCGGCAACGCTACGGGAGCTACGTATGAAAGGAGAGCTCGTGTCGCATTCGCGGAGAAATAATTCAGCGACTGTGTGTGGTAGGTCCGGGCGAACAGGTGACAACAGTTCGAACATTTAAACGCGCATTCGTCCACTCGAGTTCGTTAATACGTCTCAGCTCGCCGAACGTACGTCCTCCCTCCCTTTCCGTAAAAGGGACTTCAAATCCGATTTTCGCTTCTCGAGTTTCGGAGAATTAAGAGTTCGAGATCTTTCGACGTTTTTCAACGAAAAGTACGGGCCGTCTTCCGCCTGCAATAGTATCGACCATCGCGCGTCACCGGGAAGCAGTCGCGAAAGGGCCGACATGTATTTCCCTCGAGGAGGGTTACGCTCCGTGTAAACGCTTCCGGTCCGCGCGCGCTATCGCGGACGCCGCCATCACCGCCGTGTCGCCACACTGGGGGGAAATAAGTC